CGAAGCCTGAGAGTGACCTCAGAAGGTGGTAATTACTGTTGAGGAGAAGGAGACGAAGATGATCTGAGGTTGAGGTCTGTCTATCTTCTGTCTGTCTGTCTGTTGGAGTGTCTTTGGAATTATCCTAGTGGAGAGCGGGCTAGTGACTGAAAGGAGGGAGCCCACTGGACCCCTTCACCTTGAAAGACATTCTCGTCAGGACTGAGTGAAACAGAGAGACTGCAGCTTCCTGAGGACCATTTTAACAACTCCCCGATGGCCTCTCCAGCCCTGGGAACCTGCACTCCAGGTAACGAGGAGAAACGAGGAAAGCAGAGAACTCTCCACAGCACAGCCTGGCAATTGCAACTCCTCAGTTACCCACCTGCTGCTCTGGCAGTAGCCTGGCTGCTCAAGCTGCATCCTGGCAGGAACTCTGTTCCCATAGGTTTCAGCTCTGTTGCTGCCGTTGAAGGTAGCTTTAACTAAGTCTCCATCATTCTATCTACAAATAAGACTCGAGGCTCGAAGGCTTGGGTGAAAACCTGATGGCTCAGAGAGGCTGAGTAGCAGCTAGCTAATGCTCTCTCCTTGCTGGCTCTCCAGTCAGGTTTCTGCTTGCTTTGCCAAACCAGAAAAGGCTGCAACCACTCCAAATCCCTCCCTGCTACTTCCTGTGTCTCTCTAGCTCTCCCGGATGCCCTCTGATTCTCTATGATTACTTTCTGTCAACTAGTTGCTAGCTCAGCCTCCTGACCCAAGGTTAATTTTATTTAATTAATGCAAGTGCAAACTCGGGGTTCACAGTGTGATCGAATGTCCCCCAGCAGACAATGCACTTGGTGTGCATTGAAGGCTCAGAGTGAGATTACGGACTCCTCAGCGTGCCTGTTGCCCCCCGCTACAGGGAAGGCTTGTAACACCAACCTCCATTCCTAGCTATTCCTGCTTCCTTCCACACAAAGCTGCCTGTTAAGTTATAACCTCAGGTCTGTCAATGTTCCTCATCACTATCCAGCTCACACGTTCTCATCCCGATATTCAAGGCCTCAGATCTTCTTCCCTTTTGCCTACATTGTCTTCTGCAGAAACAAACAGAAAGGGTCCCACTCTGTTTCCTTCCTCGGTGTCTCATGGGAATCAGGCCTAGACTTCAAAAAGGAGGGCTGCCTAGCTTCCCCTGCTCGCCAGTGTGCCACCCAAATGCGCGTCCCTAACACTGTCCCCATGAACTTTGCCTTCTCCCTTTAGGCTAGTCTCACTGAAAAACCCTATGCATGCATATATCTCTCAGACCACTCCCCAGTGAAATGCCATTGCATTCATTTCATAAATCTTTACCGTATGCAGAGAGCAATGGAGTTTACACACAGAAAGTTCCCACAGTCGATGCGATGTTCCCTCCCAAGAGGTGTCATATCCTCTGCCTGGCAGGTGTGTGTTCCTTCGCAACAAGAGCCCTCCATATTCCGCTACACCCTACCTCTCAGACTTCTAGAGCTCTGGCTGTCCCCTCCTTCAGTCACCACAGTAGTTTCTCTGGTATTCCCTGGAAACCTCAGACAAGCTCAGGGCTTTGTCATGGTCACCCCTCCCCTTCAGGGCTCTGCTCAAATGTCTGCCCGTCTGTAGGGACACCTTCCTTGGTTAGCACTGTGGAAACCGCAACATTCCCTTCTTCCCTGAACTCTCATCTCTCCTCATCAGCACGCATCACCACCTGACACAAACCACTTCGCTTACCCATCCTCCAGCAGAACGGAACTCCAGGGGAGCAAAGGCTTTGCCTGGCTTTCACTTTGTTGGCTTTGTCTTGTTTTGTGTGTGTTTGGATGTATCTTCATGTGTGGAGGCCTGAGAACAACCTTGTGTGTGTCATTCTTTCCCTAGGAATGCCATCTCCTTATTTTTAGAGACAACGTCTTTCATTGGCCCAAAGACCACCTGTTAGGCTAGGCTGGCTGGCCAGTGAGCCCCAGGGTTCCACCCGTCTCTGCCAAGTCCTGGGATTACAACTACAGGCCACCGTTCTCAGCCTTTTTATGTGGATGCTGAGTATCGACTCAGGTCCTCATGCCTGTATGGCAAACACTTTACCAACCGAGCCATCTCCTTACCCATGTTCAGTTTTCCTTCCTCCCATCCATCCATCCATCCATCCATCCATCCATCCATCCAATCTATGTATGTATGTATGTATGTATGTATGTGTATCTATCTATCTATCTATCTATCTATCTATCTATCTATCTATCTATCCATCCATCCATCTATCATCTGCCTAAACTGTTTAGTGTTCTATCCTAAGCACCCAAGGCTGCTCCTGGCATCTAGAACACAGTCAACAAACATCACCCGATGTCGAGGCTGACCACCTGTCAGCAGTAGCACACGTGACTTCTCACAAGCTCCTTCCCCACTCATTTTCTTAACTTGCTCACTGTCCTCTGGTTTGGTTAAAAATTCTTCCCATAACCACCTGGGTTCAAGTTTCTCCCCTGCCACTACTTTCTGGTTCTGCACAGGGCTTTGAGAGGTTGAGATGAATTGGTGTTCATTTCACCAGTACCTGACACAGGCGTGTGTGTGTGCGTGTGTGTGTGTGTGTGTGTGTGTGTGTGTGTGTGTGTGCTCTGATACAGAGGCTAAAGCAGTGATTTGGAGGGAGAAAAGGAAACTGATGTAAGTGTGAGGTAGAGGCAGAGGGTGGAGTATGCCGTGAGTGAAGTCAGAACAATAGACTCTGACAAGCATCAGGGAGAGCCAAGCTATCCATTTCCTTGTCAGAGGAGGCCACTGGCCCGGGTTAAACGTGTTTAAGATTAGTCTTTGTGGCTTAGGTGTGGCCCTCACAGGAATAGGAAGGAGAATGGGAAATGGGTCTTGTTTCCTTTGGCAGAAGTATGTCCCAATTTTTAAAAACTGGGCTAGGACAGTGTTTTCGCTTGCCTGTGTTTAGTGGTGTAGGTGACCTCTATGGAATGCTGTGATATTTGGTTTCCTGATTGCTCTCCCTTATAAATAAAAACAACCTGACCATCAGAAGTAGGACTACAAGGGGAGACAGACAAAAACCCAGAAGCATGGTTGAGGCTAAGACATGGGCAGCGAGCCACTGAAGGGGCCGACTAAACGGCTCATTTAATCATACTTGTTCAACTGTCTTGTGCTTATTAGCACTGGGTATAAGCCAGCATCGAGCAAAATCCTTAAAGATGATTTCTCTCCATTACTTTGCACTGGCAGGCCTCCCAGCAGGGTTAGCGACTGCTGATTCATGGGCTGAGGACCAGGCTTCCCAGGACCTGGTTCTGATTCTCGAGCTCTGCCACTCTTCCCTGCAATTATGAGATGGGTCACCCCCTTTCCCAGGCTAGGGTTTCATCTCTTGACCCCACTAATGATGCATTTGGGAGGTCCTTGAGCCAGGGGTCCTAAAGGACCAAAGACACACTGGACAACCCCTTCCCTCCCCTACAAGCCTGTGCTCTACTTGTAAGACATACACCACATAGATTTTTAAGGAGATAATTTTGAGAAGCTTTGGGAAGGAAATAAACAGGGCAAAGTGAGGAAGAGAAACCAGCAGGTAATTGTTCCATGTTAGAGGGTCCGGAAGAGCTGTATACACTAGGGATACTAGGCTTGAAGCCTGAAAGGGCCTTTCATTAACTAGTCCAAAAAATAAAAGGAAAAAATAAAAAACCCAAACTATTTCAGGACATCATCTCATTTCACATGGATCCAAGAATGAACCAATGTGAAATGAAATCTAGAAAAAATAAACTTTGATTTATGAATGAGAAAGCACATTCTGAACTTAAAAGCAATGCAAAACTACAAGGAAAATTTAAAGATTTTAGCTATATAAAATGTAGATTTCTGTGTACCTGTAATAAAGGCAATGCAAAATTAAAAGACAAAGAACATGAAAAGTATCTGCATTAACTATGAGGAGATTAATAGGCCAAATGTATGGAAACGTTCATGCAAACATAAAGAAAAACACTGCATGGCATGAAATGGATGAAGGAATACAAATAATTCACAAAAGAATGTAGCTAACTTGAAAAACAATTCCATCTTTCCTAATGCCTCCAAGGTATGGCAAGTAACAAACCTCTGTCTTTCTCTCTAAAAGCTATACATAACACTCTTGGTGACATTCCAAATGGCAAGACTGGCTTTCTAACAAGGTGACTCTGAATTTAAAGTGTGTGTTTTGGCCTAATAACCCACTTTGTATAACCTTATCCCAAGACAGGACCAGGAATGTCACTCCAGACTTATACACAGGATGGGTTATCACAATACCAGGCATGAAACTTGACTTCTCAACATCAGATGTCAGTTCTAGCACCTCGGGATGATGGAGCAGCGTGCAGCTCTTAAAGGCCAAAACACAAGCAGACACCATGCCAAGTCATCCACAGAGAGATGCACAGGAGGGAGGGACGCAGGGACGAACAACTCCTTTGGTTTTCAGGTTAAAGAAGGGTAATGGAAGATATTAACCATCCCAAATAAAAAACAAAAACAAAAAACCCAACGCCCTCCCTGCAAACTCTCAAGATCTGTCCTAAGGGACAGCCTCCACCTCTCCACCCCCACTCCATGAGTTTGCTTTGGGGGTTGTAAAGCAGTCTGTAGCAATGCAGGGTCTTAAAAAATCCCTCAGATTCTTCTACACTTCTTTAGCCAGAATCACAGATCTTTCCTTGGTATTTTCTGAAGTCTTGACAGCAGTTTAGTCGCTGCTGTAAGTGATCTGGTTTTGTCTGTCTGTCTATTGCTGGAGAACAGCGTGTCCCAGAGCCACAGATGTTTACTGGTCCAGGCTGTGCAAAGCCCTTGCTACACTCGGTTAGCCTGTGTGTTTCTAACCATCCATCAGCGTTACCTTCACCGGCTTTGCAGCAGAGATACAGCAATGCTTAAGGGCATGGGGGTAAGACAGAGGTGAAAGGGTAGATCACACCCCGTGGGGAGAGAGGAGACCCCAAGCAAGCCTTTCCCCTTTGTGCTAGAATGTCAAGTATGTGAGCCTCAAACACTTCTGTCTCTGCTGGGGAGCTACTTACGAAGAAACCAAGGCCAGAGCCCACGGACACTCATCAAAAGGTGACAGGAAATCGTCTTCGGGGAGTGGATTCGCTCCTGGGCTGCTTTCTAGTGTCAGGCTCCAGGAACTGGGGCAGAGGAGGAGCAGCAAGCAGCTAGTGTCTTGCCTGCATTCGCAGCCGGGTCCAAGTAAACAACTCTCTGAACTTTGGTACATTCGTGCTGACTGATGTCACTATCAGCTGATTTCACTTTCGTTTTTTTAACTTGCCTGTGTCTTATGACTTTTCAGAAACGAAGAGCATAAACAACTTCTTGTTGCTCACCGGGACGTATGACGCACACCGGAGCACACAAACCACCGGATCAGAGATCCAGGTGAGGGTCCTGACAGTACCACACCGAAGCTTCGGAAGGGAAAGTAGATGCCAGCTTCCGGAGCTCCAGGGGATGCGACTCAGATAAACACGACCTGGAATCTTTCCAGGCTGAGAGACCTTAGATCATGTGGCCCAACCTCCCAGCCAGCGCAGCAAGTGGGACCTGGGTCCCACTTGGAAGGCAGCTATGCCACGGCTCCTTTTATTTATTTATTAATTATTTATTTATGACTGTTTTTCTGGACTGGAAACTTTACCATTAGCAATGCAATGCTCAACAGTTGTGCAGCAACAGGAACAGTGTGGTCCCATTTTGAACTAAAAGGAAAAGAAAGCTTTTAGTTTTGAAATCGCAGGGAGGGACTCCACCTTCTTTCCTCACGTGATCACACGATCACGGGAACTTTGGGATTGGGCAAGCTTGGGAAAGACAGTAGACAGCTCCCCAATAATGCTAAATTCTTGGGTTTCTCTTCCTTTTGCCATGACACCCCGTCCCCAACTGGAGTCTTACTTCATCCTAGGGATTCCCGTGGACTCTGTGCTAGGTTAGATTTCTTATTTTTCTGGATCAAAAGCTTTTCTCTTCCTTGCTTTATTCACTTTTGTCGGGTGATTTCTTGAGAAATGAGAAACACCAAAGGCATTTTTTTTTAAGTGTGGCAAACTGATAATATCTTTATTTTATTCTTGATCTTGTTCAAAGTTGGATGCGGTACAGCGTTTTTGGTTAAACTAATTTTCCTATGCAGTGTTGAGTCTGTATTCCATGCTGTCTGCCTTTCCTGTGATTGTTGGGAAGTTCAAAGCTCACCTCCTTCCCATTGTTGTCCTTTCAGCCGTTTGCTTGTAAAAGAAAGTAGCATTTCAGTGAGGTCTTGGGAAGGAAAAATTAGATGTGCAACCAATTTGCCATTTTCAACTGGAAGCCTAAGTCAACCCTGCCCCCTCCCATGGAGAGCAAGGGTCTCTCCATGTAGCTCAGGCTGGCCTCCAACCCTCAGAAATCCTCCTGCCTTTGTTTCCCAAGAGCTGGGGTTACAGAGCGAGTCTGGCTCCTTCTCTTCTTCCCTTTGTTTTCATTCCAGCAGGGCTAGTTTGCTTGGTTGCTCACGGGTTCTCTGATAGCTCCCTATCTGGTTCATGGTTAAGCTAACTGCTTTTAATAAACAACTAGCCTCTGGCTGCCGAAGCCTCCATTGTTTAACTTGCCTACGCTCTGCTAAACAAGTTTACTTGGGGAGAGTTTCCGAGCTCTTTGCTCTTATGTATGCTTTCCCTGAGACTTTGCCTCTGAACTACTTCTGTGGAGCCGCCCTTGGGGACAGTGTTGCTTCTTTTGACATGGCTGTTAGAGTAGGTAGGTGCTGGTGAGGCAGTAGTCTGGTCTCTTCAGCTCGGCAGTTCCCACATGGAACTTCCATTTTATGAAAAGCTGGGCAAAGGTGACTGGCTCCGGTCTTCTGCCTTTGTACTATGGTTGGGTGTGGTGAGGTATTATTTATGATTTATCAACGCTTGTCTGAGGATTCAGAAAGCAAAGTGAACCATAAGCCATGGAAGCCAGGCACACACCTTGCTTCTGCAACTTAGAGAGGAACTGAAGGAGGGAGGAAGTCATGTGGCATACACCCTTGCTATTATTATGAGGTCTCTGTGACTCTTCCGGAATGCACGGCGCCTTCTCATTTGTTGTGTTTATTTATTGTGAGCATGGACAAGTTTTAAACACACACACACACACACGCACACACACACACACGCACGCATGCACGCATGCATGCACGCACGCACGCACATCCACATGAGTTCCAGAGATTCACCTCAGGCCATCGGGCCTAGAAGGAAGCTCCTTTATTCGCCCGGCCATCTCGCTGGCCTTGGAATATATTTTGGGGACAACTTCTGGAGATTTTAGTTCTTCTAAAAATAATTTTACCCCCCCTTTTTTTTTAAATTGGGGGACAAGTAAGAAAACTAATCCACTCTAGGAGTGGATCTTTGCCTGCTTTTTACATTTCTGAAAAAAATTCCAAAATTTTGGGATCATAGCAAAATTGAAAGTATATGTAATCCTGACTCACAGTGTCTTCTAGGCTGTCCCCTGCATTGTCTTCTAGTGTTCAGCAAATTTGAACTTGATCGATGTCCACTCTTGAGTTCGTTTTTGCGGTGTGAGGGCTGTGTCTGGACCCCATTTTGTTTGTTGTTTTGTATGTGGGTTTGCTGTGGCACAGCCATGGAAAGGACCGACTGTCTTTGCTCCACTGAGATGATGTGGCTCTTTTTCTAGAAGTTTTCTGGGCTATTTTATCCCGCTGGTCTGTTGATTCTTTCCCAGCATTAATTGTTATAGCTGTAGAGTCTTGATGTCAGTTAATGCCAGTCCCCTGACTTGGGTCTCTTGCAGTGTTGTGTGGGCTGTCTCCACATGAACTCCAGACCCAGCTTGTTGATGTCCACCAAGTAGTGTGCTGCAGTTGGAAGACTGACTCATGCATCAAGGCGTGAAGAGCTAACATCTTAACAACACTGGGCCTTCTTAGCCAAGAACATAAAACACAGCTTCATTTATTTAATTTTCTCAGCTCTCCAAGTTTTAAAAATTTCTCTTTGTGTATATTTCGATGTTTTGTTAGATTTGCACCTATTAATGGTCTTGTGATTTTTTTTTTGTTTTTACCTTCAGATTCTAAATGTTCATTGCTGGGGTGCTTATGGAAATTTACTTTTGTACATTAGGTGTGTTTGTTGCACGGATAATAAAAATTCAGAGACAGATATTGTGGTTCAAGCTGAAGATCAGAAAAGCAAAGCAGCCAGCCACTAGAAAGTTCTTACCTCTACCAAGGCTCAGACCAAAGGGTGACTGCAGACTGCCTGAGTACCTGTCTCCTCCCTCTTATATTCCTCTCTAGTACTGGTGTCTAAGGTGTGCACCACCACCACCTGGCCTCTGTGGCTAACTAGTGTGGCTGCTGAGATTAAAGGTGTGGCCACCACTGTCTGGCCTGTATGGCTGACTAGCGTGGCTAGCTTTGCACTCTGATCTTCAAGCAAGCTTTATTTGTTAGATCATAAACAAAATATTACCACATTTCTCCTTTTTGTCTAATATAAAAAGGTTATAACTAATATAAGAAAATATAAGAAAAACTATATACAATAAATACAATAACTATATACAATATATTCAGGCAATAAATACATCAAAAATGTCTAGTCCATTTGCATTTGACAAATTCAGAGAAAATACCCCATTATCATCCTATCTTGGTGAGTACAAAGGGTTGTACCTAATTCACTTTCTAATTTGCATTATCAAATTATCTTTTAATGTCTCTCAACCTTTTACACTTTACACTTCTTTAGTGAGTTTCTTTTCTGAGTCTGGTAAGCAAGGAAAACTATAAATACCTAGTCTTTAATTCCCTCAGAAACATGAGAAGGAAATAATATTAGCTGAGTAAGCAGGAAGTGCAAGAAATCTACTTCCAAAAAACGTGGTAAGTGACAAAAACAGCTGACTGCCTGGACAGTCACCCAAAGGTCCTCTGCATGTTGGGGCATCCATCTTCAGCCTACAGGCCTAGAATATTCAACATGTGTTAATTAGTCTTTTATTGCTTTGGCAAACTACCTTTGAAAATAAACTTGTAAGAAGGAAAATATAATTTCCATTCATGGTTTTGCAGGCATTACCCACAACATGACATACAAAATCAGAGAAACTGAACTAACTCATAGTATAATATCTAACCACAATGAAACAAAGCTAAAAGTCAATAGCAAGTGAACCCTGGTAAATACACAAACTCATGGCAATTAAAACAACATACTACCAAGTGATGAACAGATCAAAGAAGAAATTCACAAAGAAAAATTTTAAAATTCCCAGAATTAAATAAAAATATAACACAGAGAACCTCTAGGATGCTCTACAAGCAGTCTTAAGAGGAAAAAAAATTACAGCTCTAAGAGCCTACACTAAAAAATCAGAAAGAACACAGATAAATGACTCGATGGTTCTCAAGAATTTGGAAAACAAGAACAAACCAGCCCCCAATCCAGTAAGTAAAACAAAAAACAAACAAACAAACAAAATAAACCAATAAAAATCTGAGTAGGAATTAAAGAATATGTAAACCAGTAACTCATGTAATTGTACTTGAAGACAAAAGTCATATGAATATCTCAATAGGTGCAGAAAAGGTATTTGACCAACTCCAACATGTCTTAATGTCTAGAGAGAGTAGGTCTGGAGGGGACACAGCTCAACATCCTAAGCCTATATATGACAGACCCACAGCCAGCATCATTCTACATGGAGAAAAGCCTCACTCATACCTAATTGATGGGTGAGCTAAGCATTCATTAGTGTCTTTTAAATTTTGAGCTGTTCCTTCTGTTTCTTAGAGTTTACAGCTCTCTGTATTACTCATCCTTACTTATTGCCTACTCAGAGTCTTGGCAAATTAAACTAGTTATTATAAATTCCTGGGAGATACGATGGAGTTTTTCCAGAGAAGGGACCATTTGAGTTTAATCTTCAGGGAGACGTAGAGGCTTTCCAGTTCTGACAGGGTTATATCATAAAGATCAGACAGAATGATTGATTTTTATGGACGAGTGGCATACTTAGAAAATTTAAATACTATAACATGAAAAACAGAGTGGAAGTAATCTACATGCATTCTTGTACTCTACATGTCAGGCATTTATTAGGTAGTATTATGTGGCTCAAGTGGGTATAGGCACTTGCTGCCTGAATTCTGTCCCTGAACCCACATGGTAGGAGAACACACGCCAATAAATTGTCTTCTGACCTCCATGTGTACATGGCATACATGACCTAATGGTGCATGAGATTCACACACACACCCAAAAGTAAATAATGCAATAAGACACTAAATAATATGACACAAGGCAGGGAATTATAAGAGAAAAGATACTGGCAAAATAATTAAGGAAATGCCTCTGCACACCTCAGTCACTGAAGAAACCAGTTTGCTACTTTGGTTATACTCTCAAAGATATTCAACCCTGAAGTCTGTAGTCTCAAACTTTCATATAACTGAAGTTTCAAAGAACAGTTGTCAATTTAAACTTAGATTCCCGTGAAGTTTAGCGCTCCCTGATTTATGAGAACAGGGGAAAGTTGACTTTGGAGAGTGTTAGTTGCCCAGAGAAGAATCCCTAGTAAAGAAATCAGGGACCTCTCTGAGAACCCCAATAGCTACCCCCAAACCTAGTCCTTCTTCCTTAGAAAAACAGTTGTTTCCTACTACGTGCAAGGATTCTTGAGGAAATTTATGGTCAAAATTCCCTACAAATAACATTTCTTCTCTGAACATTGCAGTGAGCTAGTAAGTCCTTTCATCTACTACAGACGCTGACTGTAGAGCCTGCCATGTCACTCAGACCTGTGGTGTGTATCTACTGTGCCTCTGTAGAGCCAGGCCTTGTGGTCTGCGCCCTCACTCACCTGCCTTCATTTTCACTGACACACTTGCTACACTAACTCCTCTGCACATGTATTCACTGTATTTTTATTTTTGTGTGATACCGGGGTGTGAACTACGGCCTCCCCCCATTAGGCATGTGTGATATTGGGGTGTGAACTAGGGCCTGCCCACAATAGGCATGTGTGATATTAGGGTGTGAACTAGGGCCTCCCCACACTAGGCATGTGTGATACTGGGGTGTTAACTAGGGCCTCCCCCCACTAGGCATGTGTGATACTGGGGTGTGAACTAGGGCCTCTCCACACTAGGCATGTGTGATACTGGGGTGTGAATTAGGGCCTCCCCACAATAGGCATGTGTGATACCGGGGTGTGAACTAGGGCCTCCCCCCATTAGGCATGTGTGATACCGGGGTGTGAACTAGGGCCTCCCTACAATAGGCACGTGTGATACCGGGGTGTGAACTAGGGCCTCCCCACAATAGGCGTGTGATACCGGGGTGTGAACTAGGGCCTTCCTCCACTAGGCATGTGTGATACAGGGGTGTGAACTAGGGCCTCCCCCCACTAGGCATGTGTGATACCAGGGTGTGAACTAGGGCCTCTCCACACTAGGCATGTGTGATACCAGGGTGTGAACTAGGGCCTCCCCACACTAGGCATGTGTGATACCAGGGTGTGAACTAGGGCCTCCCCACACTAAGCATGTGTGATACCAGGGTGTGAACTGCCCCCCCCACTAGGCATGTGTGATACCGGGGTGTGAACTAGGGCCTCCCCCCACTAGGCATGTGTGATACCGGGGTGTGAACTAGGGCCTCTCCACACTAGGCATGTGTGATACCGGGGTGTGAACTAGGGCCTCCCCACAATAGGCATGTGTGATGCTGGGGTGTGAACTAGGGCCTCCCCACACTAAGCATGTGTGATACCAGGGTGTGAACTAGGGCCTCCCCACACTAGGAATGTAGTTCTCTGTCACGGGGCTACAGCGCGTTTCCCTCCTCATTGTCTTAGTCTTTTGGTTGGATGCAGGGTTTCATTAGGTTGCTGAGACTGCTCTTGAACTCATGTTGTAGCCCAGGCAAGCCTTGAACTTGCGATCTTTCTGAGTCGGGCTCTTAACCAGATGGGATTATATTCCCCCCCCTCCTCCACGCCTGACTGCTCACCACCTTATGACAAACATGAAGTGTAGGACTTGCTCCTGAAGAATCCATTTGAAGAACAAACTGAAGGCAGGCACTCACTGCCTCTAGGAGAAATGGGACTTCTAACCTTTTACAACTTTGCTTAATTATGAGAGGTAAAACAATATATTTCCATGTCATTCGGTTTCACCCTTTGGTCTGTGCAATTAGCATCTTTTAATATGTGCTATTTCATCAATTAGAGGTACACAAATTAGCGCTTTCCTATATGTTCTTATTCAATTGTTATTCTTATTTATCTTGCTGTTTTTAAATGTTGTCCAGGCTAGCCTTGAATCCCTGATCCTTCTGCCTCTACCTCCCAAGTGCTGGGATTACTAGTGCATGCCACTACGCCCAGCTGTGTGTTCATAAGAACTATGATGTTCTTCTAGAAGGGAGAAATATTGTTTATTTCTCCTGTGGTTTCTCTAGCACACCAACTATATAAAAGAGACGCAGGGAATGATGGTTGGCTGCTAATTCATCAAAGTGACTAAATTCATTAATAACATGTCTTTCCTTGCTTGAAGTTTTAGTTTTTTGTTGTTATATACATGCATAATTTGGAAGAAATCCAAAGCTTCAAGCTTTTCCCATGTTGATACAAATTAAATATATGTGTTTTCAACTTTTCTATATTTCCTCTGGAGTTTTAAATCTCTGAAAGATGTTTCCTCTAAGGAAGATGGGCAAAATCTGTAGTTGGCTATCCACGAGTGAGCGTGTGAGGAGAGAGGGGAGGGCCAGGGAAGGGGGGGGGGCTGCTGATTTTAGCTGTGTCAGCACATCTCAGAGTCGCTTTCAGCTTGGTTAACTGTTGTCCTGGAACTTCAGGTGGAAGGTGAACGGGCCCCCCTCCTTTGGTTTCTTGTTGCTTTTAGTTAGATGAGGAACTATCTGCTCAGAGCTCTTCAGGATGGATTCTTCAGGCTGAAGACTGTTGCCTTTGACAGTATCGGCATCAGCATCCATTTTAGAACGTGAGGGAACAGTCTCCCGTCTGCTGCTGGGGAGTGTCACACCCTCAGTGCCTCTGGCCCAGAGTTCAGGATGCTTTTTCCTCTTCTGAAGATTGCAGAGGGGTGATAAACTTTCAAATGAGCTCTGGGGCACAGACCGGAGCCATTCTGAGGTGTTTGTCATGAGATTCCTTTGGGTTTTTGAAGGGAGATTTCTGGTTGGTGTCCAAGGTATGCTGTATCTTCTTATATTTATGCAAGTAGTTGGAATAAATCTAGAAAAGAAATGAAATGTATGAGATTTTGCCTAGTGTGTACCTACTTTGTGGTCCTAGATATACTGTCATAATGCGGATTGTATATTTTCCCTCGGTTGAGCTCATTGGCCCTTAAGACTTTATCCTCATCTTTATGAAGATGAGCTAAATCTTCATTTCTGGTTCTAAATGTTTGGCTTTACCTGGACCTGGACACACTGCCATTGGTGTGGACACACTGCATTGGTGTGGACACACTGCATTGGTGTGGACACACTGCCAATGGTGTGAACACACTGCATTGGTGTGAACATACTGCATTGGTGTGGACACACTGCCATTGGTGTGGATACACTGCATTGATATGGATACACTGCCAATGGTGTGAACACACTGCATTGGTGTGAACACACTGCATTGGTGTGGACACACTGCCATTGCTGTGGACACACTGCATTGGTGTGAACACACTGCACTGGTGTGTACACACTGCCATTGGTGTGAGCACACTGCCATTGGTGTGAACACACTGCCAATGGTGTGAACACACTGCATTGGTGTGAACACACTGCATTGGTGTGAACAAGATACAGAATCATGCCTTCATGTTGTTTTTACAGCGCCCACTTCTCTCCTGTCTTGACTTCTCTTTAACTCCTGAAAAACATTAACTTGTCTTCCAAATTATATCATTTTGTTATTGCAAGAATGTTATGTAAATGTAACCACATAGCCTGCAACCTTTCGGAATTAATTTTTCTACCCACCCAGTATAATTCTTTGGGGGGCTTCATTGCTGTTGTTTCTCCTCTGCTCATTTTCATCTTTTTTTTTTTTTTTTTTGAGTAGTAGTTAATGCATGGAGGTTCAATGATTTATCAGACCTGTGGATCATTTCCAGTTTAAGGGTATTGCAAATAGAGCTGAGTGGACATTTGTGTGAAGGATTTTGTGTGAACTTGTTTTCTTTTCACTGGGGATTAAATTCCAGGAGAGCAGTTGCTAGTTATATGGTAGTTATATATTTATTTTTCTGTTTTAGTTTTGAAAGAGACCCTTGTTATGCTGTCTGGCATGCCTTAAACTTACTTACAGTTCTCATAACTCTTCCCTCATCAGGTGCTAGGATTACAGGTGTGTTGTCACATCCAGTCACAAGACAGTTAGCTAAGAAACTGATTACTTTTACAGTACTTACCCCATTTTATGTTCCCGACAGTGACATATAAATAACCTGGTGTCTGCGTCCTCACCATGTATTGTGTTCTTGTTTCACGTTTTTGCTTAGCTTTTCTGCTATGTGTGCAATGATAGCTTACTGTGTATTAACTTGCATTGCTGATGCCGATACGTTTTGTGGTTGTGTACCACCTGTGTATTGCTTAGTTTGAAGCCGATTTATGTTGCCTGTTTTCTGATGACATGCTTTTCTTTTTTTCTGAGGATTTATTTTAAATTATGTGTATGCCTGTGTGTTTGTGTGGAATTATGAGCATGTGAGTACAGCTGCCTGTGGAGGTCAGACAAAGGTGCCAGATTCCTTTGGAATTGGAATTACAGGTGCTATAAGCTGTCCCATGTAGGTGCTATGAACAAACAGGTCCTTTGCAACAACAGTTCGTGCTGCCTGAGCCATCCCTTTAACCCTGAAATATTTTTCTGACGGTTAAATCTGAGGATTCTCACTCTCTCTCTGTATATATGTGTGTATTCATGTTCATGAGTGTACATGTGTATGGAATGTACATGTATTTATACACATATACATATGGGGACTGGAGGTTGACAGTAAGTAACTTCCTCAGTTGCTACCTTTTTTTTTTTTAATTAAAGATGGGGGTCTCTGAGTCAGAATCACTGTAGGACTCACCTTCTTACAGACAGCAGAGTGTTCCCAGGATTTCACTTTGCTATAAACATGTACTGTATTTATTCTATTAGAGTAGTTTAATTACATGCAAGTCCCAGGCATTCCCATGTCTTTCCCTCTCCAGCACTAACTATTATTACAGGCATGCATCAACTACCCAGATCTTTACTCGGATGCTGGGGATTGAACTCATGGCTTTATGTGTGCCTGTAAGCCCTTTACTGATGAATCATATATCTAGCCATTCAGGTTTCTTTAATTAAGATGATATTTTGTTGATGTGGTTTCCAAGTAATTTCTCATATCTTATAGTACTTAAATTAAAATTTTCTTTTTAAAATTTTATGTGTATGGGTGTTTTGCCTGCATTTGTTTGTGCACACTTATATGTCTGGTGTCTTAGAAGCTAGAAGAGAACGTGCATTGGAACTTTAATTACAGAGAGTTGTGAGCTGCCATGTGACTGCTGGAACTTGAACCTGGTACTTTGGAAGAGCAGCCAGTGCTCTTAACCATGGAGTCATCTCTTCAGCCTCCTTGATAGTGATTTTAATATGCTTTTGTGTTGTTTTGTGTTTTGGAGACAGAATTATTATATAGCCCTGGCTGGACTGGCATTCAGTTCGTTGCCCAGGCTGATCTCTTTCTTACAGCAATCCTCCTGCTTAACCCTCCCAAATGTTGGGATTACAGGTGTGCATTGCCATGCCTGACTTCTTTCTTTGCAGACCTTTTGCAAAGTAAACATCATTTTAAGTCCAACTTACTTTTTTTCTCTTTTACAAATCATATTTTTGGTATTAACACTAAGAAATCTTAGCTTAGCCTTAGATTTGAGGATTTTCTGTGTTTTTTCTAAAGGTTTTGTAGTTTTACATATGTTGTGTATTGGATCCACCTTGAATTAATGTATGCATAAGTGATGGATTTAAGCATTTTTTTTTTTTTTGCTTGTTTTCTTAAAAGAAGTTCATCCCATTTGTGTGAATCCTCTCAGTCCCACAGACGTGTCTTCTCATCCTCCAATACTATATTGTTCTGCTGTCACTATAAACACGTTCTTAAAATCAACAGGCCAATTCCTTTTGCCAAATTGTTTTTGACAGTGTTTTTGTATCCAAATTTTAGATGAGCCTTATTATGTCTGTAACAATTCTATGGAGACTTTGATGGGAATTGTGTTGACTCCGTGTATCCATGGGAAGAGCTGACATCTTGAGTTTCCCTTTTCATAAACATGTTTATCTTTTCCATTCATTTACATTTGGTCTTCCATATTCTTGTGTGTTGCATTTGTTTGTGCTGCATTTTTTAACTCTGTGAAGCTGTGATTCTTTGCCTGTCTGAAACCCCTGATGGCCTAAGAGTTCGGCCTAAGAGCCCAACAGCCGATTGTGAGGCAGGAGAAAGGATAGGCCGGGCTGGCAGTCAGAGAGATAAATGGGAGAGACCTGGGAAGAAAGAGAGCAAGGAGGAGGAGAGGCTTGTGCCAGGGGACAGCCACACGGCACGGCAAGGCAAAAGGTAGACAGGTGAATTTAAGTGAAGAAAAGCCGACAAAAAACAAGCCAAGCTAAGGCGGGCCATAAAAAAGTAAGAAAAAGCCTCCATGTGTGATTTATTTGGGAGCTGGGTGGTACGCCCTCTGCACCCCCAAAGTGAGAAGAGCCAAAGAGTAAAAATACTAACGACGACACAGAAAGTGTCCAGTCCTCTGGAGCCAATGTGCCTGGAGCAGCTGTGAGCCACTATGTGGGTGCTGAGAGTCACCTTCAGTCCCTCTGCATGAGCAGCCTGCCTTCCTAGTCACTCAGGCATGGCTTTAGCTCCCTGATTCATAATTGTGCTGATATTATACTCTACACTTTGTCTGCCTGCCTAGATTCACTTTACTTTTTCATATTTTAGCTGTCTAATTATTAAACTCAATTTCTGTCAGGTAGAACCTTTCCCATCATGACTGCTATCACACTCCTCTAGAAATTACTACCATTTTTTAAAAAATTTTGACTTTGATGATTATACAGTAAAGGAATAAACGTCATGAAGAGGAACAGTATCCTTCACTAACACCATCCAGAAATAATCACTCTTAAGGATGTGTGCTTCTAGAGTGCTTCTTCTACATTGTATTTGAATGTGTATAATGCATACATATATGTAAACATAATCACACCAAAAAATGGGTATATAGCCCATCTTACACATATATTGTGGACATTATTTCCTAATAATTTTCACTTGCAACACTGAAGTACTACATAATATTTCATAATTTAGTTTTTATTCTTGAACATTTATATTCTTTAACTTTTAACTCCTATAAGCAATACTGAAATGAATATTACATATGTCTCATAATTCTTATTTTGTTTTTTGCTTCCCTAAGTGGAATTTGCGTTAGTGGTGTGAAGGTGGCTTAGGAGTCTATGGGAGGCCCTGGGCTCAACCCTAAACACCATACACAGGATGAGGAAGAAGAGATGGAGAGAAATGTGAACCAGGGGTGTTCATTGATATTATTGAAATGCCTTCCAGAAGCTACCCACTTGTGTCTCTGCTGGTCATAAGTATATAACTTAGAAAAATATCTAGCACATGGGAAGCAGTTTACAAAATGTTGTCAACAATACTATATATTTATTATTTTCAGATTTTATTATCTTTACTTTTACTTATGCAGTTTTTCTTTGTGCCTTGGAGATAATTCTGTTTTTCATCTTTAAAAGAAATAATCTTATTATTGACTTCCATTGAGTACCAAATAGTTGAACCAAGATTAATTATTTTAATCCTGCTTTCCTTCACCCTGGAGTTTTAAAGTTTTAAAATATCTGAAAATTGTCAAGTCATGCTCTAGTTACATCTTATTATGCATACTTACTTTGCAGATACAATCTAAAATATGTTATGCAAGTACTAGGTCAAATAATGCCTTATAACTTAATGCTTTACAGCCTGGCCTCTAATTATTATCTTGGGTTTTGTGATGTAGTGGATGCTATTTTTAAAAGCTTATGTTTGTTTCTAAAGATAATGAACTAACAAGCTGTGCTTCCTTATAAAACTATATTAAATAGTAAGGAGTTTGGGGGTGGCTGGGAGGTAGAACATTTGCATAGCATTACAAGTTCTGGGTTTGCTCCCCAGCAATATGTAAGTAAGCACGATGGACATCATTGACTTACTGACGTTGCTGGAAGTCGGCTCCTTGACTGAATAGGTCTTTGATTTGAGTAGCTTTCATGTTTTTAGAAGATTCCACAATAGGGAGTAAATACTGTAGTATTTCCTGAGTTTGAGCTATTCTTTTATCCCTGTAGATTCTTTTTTCATCATCTGTCCAATTTGTGCCGGTCCTCTTGCTTCGAAAGGATGTGCATCTTTTTGCTTTCCTCTTCAATTCATGGTGTGGCTCTAGGGAGCAACCACAAATAAATAAATATCTGTAAGTCTTTGCTGTTTACAGCTTATGGTTTAGTGACAATGGTTAAAAAGCAAGTAAAACATATAGTATCTTAGGTAATAAAGTTTACAGTATGAAATAAGGCTAGGGAGGGAAATGGAGAATTCCAGGAGGAAGATGGTGACTTATATATTCAACAAGTATTACGAGAAGGCCTATCTATGATTCTGACATATTGTAGGAAACATGGGTCAAGCCAAATAGGTATCATGGGAAAGAGCCTTTTGAACAAGGAACAGTTAAGTGCAAAGGCTTTTATTAAGACAGGGATACGGCAGTATGTTGAGGACACCAAGAAAGCAAGTGAATGAAAGGTCGCAGCTTGAATTGAGCCAATGTAGGGCCTCATAGATCAGTGGTTTTCAACCTTTCTAACGCTGTGACCCTTTAATACAGTTCCTCATGTTGTGGTGACCCCCAATCAAAAATTATTTCATTGTTACTTTTTTTTTTTTTTTTTGAGACAGAGTTTCTCTGTATTGCTTTGGAGCCTACCTGGAACTCACTCTGTAGACCAGGCTGGTCTTGAACTCACAGAGATCCATCTGCCTGCCTCTGCCTCCCGAGTGCTGGAATTAAAGGTGTGGACCACCAACGCCAGGCGCATTGCTACTTCTTAATTGTAATTTTGCTACTGTTCTGAATCATGATGTAAACCTCTGATATGCGGGGTGAAGATTGTGTCCTCTGTGAAAGGATAGTTTGACCACCCTCAGAAGGGTTGTGACCCCACAGGTTGAGAACCATTGCCTAGGCCATTGTCAGAACCATGAGTGTTAATGAGAGATGTGCCACAGTCTGAGATTTGCTTTAATAAGATCTTAGTGGTTGCTGAGTTGAGAATGGCGTGAACTGGGCAAAGCTAGATAAGCAAGGAGATCTCTTGTGAGACTACTGAAGCAATTCAGGAGGATGGTGGCTGGAACCATGGTAGTGGAGGTGGCTAGAAGCGTGAGAACTGGGGTGGAGGTCCTGGGTGTGTCTGGGGCTCTCTAAAGAACTGGATTGGGGTGAGAGACTAAGACAAGAATTAATGGTGCTTGCAAAGCTTCTGATCTGAGGAAAGGGAGTTAGGGAATACTGTAGAAAGGGCATGTTCGAAACCCCTTAACATTAGATAGAGAAGTGTTAATTGTGATATTAGAGTGCAATATCTATCTATCTATCTATCTATCTATCTATCTATCTATATACTTTTTTTTCCAAGACAGGGTTTCTCTGAATAACAGTCCTGGAACTCACTCTGTAGACCAGGCTGACCTCAAACTCACAGAGATCCACCTGCCTCTGCTTCGGAGTTCTGGGAAGTAAAGGCAAGTGTCAACACTGCCCAGCATAATAGTGCTTAAATTTTTTTATCACATCCTATAGCTTTTAGCCTGTTATTAAAATATAAATTTCTCCCAAACCAGAGAAAAAACAAGTATTGTTAAGTATTTAGAGAATTTGGAATCCCTATGCACTTGAGAACAGTATACTCTTTTCTCAAAAAGCTAAAAACAGATTTATATTTCCAAGTGGGTCCCACAAGTCCCAAAAGAAAGTATGATATAAAAGACAAATCTGTACCCCATGTTCACAGCAACATTATTCACAAAGTGGAAGCAACCTAAGAGTCCATGGATAAATAATAAATAAAAGTCATTTACCAATGACAAAATATTGACATTGTTAAATCTTGAAGTCATACACCAAGTAAAATAAGGTAGTCAAAAAGGACAAATATGATATCTGTCTTCTAAATGTTTAACCCCACTTATAAGGGATGTCAAGGTAAAATAGAACAGCTTCCAGGGGCTGAGAGAAGGGAAAGCAGTCTTTTAAGATAAAAAGAGTTTTGAAGATTGTTTGCAGAATAATGCCAAAGAACTTAGCACTACTGACCTGTACCTTTAAAAAATGTTTGAGAGCAAATTTTATATTACATAGAATTTATCAGTTAAAATGAAATAGCCATACTTAGGAAAAGAGCAGATTAAAAACCCAGAAGGAGAGCTGCCTATTAGTCTTGCATCTTAAAAAAAAAAAAAGTGGCAGTCTCATTTATATTATATTATAATATGTAAATTGCTATTTAACAGCATAAGGAAAAATAAACCACATTTAAAATTAAGTCAAGAAAACACACTGTGTGTCCTTTCTTAGAGATAGATACTAGATTGTTTACAGGCAAGATTATAATTTGTAGAATCTGCTTTAAAACACTCCAGGAAAAACACGTGGGAATACAGATAAAACAAAGAAGCTGGGATCCAGGAGAGGAGGGTGGGGCAGTGAGTTCGTTACTTTGTACTCAACTTTCATGCCTGAAAAATTCTCTAGTGAAGTTTTTTTGTTTGTTTTTTGTTTTTGTTTTTTTTTTTAATACAACTGTTTATTACCAAAAAGAAAAACACCAGTAAATTCAGTTGGATCTGAAAGATGACAACTGCAATGCCAGCGTCCATAAAGATGGCTGCACTCCATCTTGGCACAAGGACAGAGTTCAAAGCTGTCCTCAGCAAGTCATAAGACCTAAAAGTCAAAGGTGCGGGTACAGTAGGATGTTTGGCTGTCTTACTCTAAATAACAACAGACCTGAATCTGAGGTGTGGCTACTCCTGACTCTCAAGGTTAGGAAAGGAGAAGTTGAATCTGAGATGTGGCTACTCCTGACCCTCAAGGCTAGGGAAGGAGAAGTTGGACTAAGGTGTGGTTACTGAACCCTTAGAATAAGTGAGAAAGAAAAGTCTGTTCTGTATACATGATACTGTGTTCCTCTTTTTAGATAAGGTATGTAAGAGTGGTTAAAAATAAACTCCTGGCATTTCGGTATTGACAGATCTTCCTTCCTGACTTTTATTCTGTCTCTCTGTCTTTTCTTTATTGGCAATAGCTAGCCTTTCCCTCATCCACACTCCCCCACTCAGGCACGAACTTGGGGCTGCTCGGTTGGTTTCGATTGCAGCCCCATAAAGACAGCTTCTGACACAATATCTGTCAGTGCTGACAGATGAACTTGTACACAGTATCTCTAGAAGCCACTACCAGGCTACTGAACAAACACTCAATGCTTACTGTGTACCTAGCACTTTGGGTAGTTGGCAATTAAATATGAAAAACATAATCCTTAATTTCATTATGTTGGGTCAAGACTAGAGACAAACTAAAGCAGCAATGAAATGTCATGTTTGATTGTGCGTATGTATGTGTGCACATATGTGTGAATGAATGTGTGTAGTGCACCTGTGAAGGCCAGGTAGATTACTGGTATCTTCTACTGCTACCCATCTTATTTTGAGAGAAGGTTTTTTTGGTTTGTTTTTCCTGAACCTGAGGCTCACTGATTTTGGCAGACTGGCTAAGGAGAGCTCCAGGATCTGTTTGTCTGTCACCCTTTCACAATCCCCCTAACCCATGTGCTGAAGTTGCAGATGCTGCTGCACTTGTCTTTTTACATGGGTATTGGAGATCTGAACTCAACTCTTCAAGCTTACCAAGTGCTTTACCTACTGAACCATTTCTCCTGCCTCAAGAACGCATTCTCATAGGAAAAGTTAGGCTACTCGCTCAGGTTATAGATAGGTACTTGTAGAGAAACTTATGGATGGGAACAAAGGATAATGGATGAGGAAAGCTTCCCAATGCATACATAATTCAGCAGGGCCTTGATGGGTGAGAACAGGTCAGCTAAGTATAGTAGTGATCTAGATTAAAGTACTTCAAACAGCAGATTATGTAATATAGTCATGAAAAGTTTGGCAACAGTATAAGATTTCTGTGATTGGCCTAATAAAAAGCTAAACTGCCAATAGCTAGGCAGGACTTTTGGGACAGAGAGAATGCTGGGAAGAAGAGAGCAGAGATGCTGAGAGACAGGGAACAAATAAGACATGCAGGAGGAGAGGGAATAGCCACAAGTCACATAGCAGCACTAGCAACTGGTTAGTTTAAGTTAAGAGCTAGTTAGAAACAATCTGAGTTTTCCTAACTAATGGGAAGTCTCTGTGTGGTTATTTAGGAGTTGGCAGGTGGGATAGAGAAAGAACAACTAATATGGGATGTTCTTCTGTATGCTCTAAATATGTGTTGCTTTTACTGGTTGATGAATAAAGCTGTTTTGGCCAATGGCCAGGCAGACTAGCTAGGTGGGAAATTCAAACAAAGATATGGAGAGAAAGAAGGCTGAGTCAGGAAGATGCTGTGTAGTCATTGGGGAAGCAAGATTTGAGATAACAAGGCACAGCTTCAAGGTAAAATATAGAATAATAGAAATGGGTGAATTTAATTGTGAGAGCTAGTGAGTAATATGTCTGAGCTATTGGTCAAACAATTATAATTACCATTAAGCCTTAAAGTGGTTATTTGAGAACTGGCAGGTGGGATGAGAAACCTCCAACTATAGCTGACCACTGTCAATGAAGGAATTCAAAGGACAGAGACAAAGAGGATCTCTGAATTAAAGCAGTGGTATACGGATGGAGTGAGTGTACCTGGGAGAATCTTTAGGCATAAAATAGATAAATTTTCCTATGTTGATACATAGCCAGGGATACAGAAGATGAGGGTGTTACTGAGATAAATGGATGATGGCAATATACTGAGATGTAGAATGCAGGGGGAGAGAGAAATTATCAGTATGGTAAGGTGAATAGAAATACTCAAGAACCAGAGTAACAAAATGGAGGTGTCCAGTAGTCGGGGAATGATCTACTTTGGAGTTATACAATTATGATGATTGATTGTTGGCTGAAGACATATGTACACAGGACAGTGCTGAGAAGGAAAGTATGGGGTGAGAAGAGACAAGGAATAGGAGACTTAATGCTTAGATAGAGGTAACATCCTCCATGGATTCCTCACATATTTCATGACGTTTAATGTGTAGCCAGAGGAGTGAAATAAAACAGAGTAATGATAAAAAAGTTTCAAAGAGCTTGGTGAATCAAGAGGGAAGGAGAGAGAATTTAAAATGTGCTAGGAACATTATTAGTAAGCAAACTAGTGTAGTGAGGATGGATGGCTGTGGATGGTATCATCCTTTAATCAATATTGTGACACTGGAAGCAAGAATATAATAGGTTGAGATGTATACCCAAGATGATGTGAGAGTGGGGATTTATTATTAATTGATCATAAGGAAGGTAAGAAGTAGTGACTAAAACTATGCACTGAGGTAATTGCTGGGCACGGGATCCGACTACTCCTGGAAAATTAGTCTTTAAAAAAAAAAGGATGCCATTTTTATGAAATAAGGCTGATGGATATGAAGTTAACTTTTTATTGTAGGAGTTGTAGAAGTTGAGGGCATTTTGGCACATCAGCTGTTGGGTGTGTGTTTGTATGTATGTGCGTGTGTGTATGCATGAAATGGGAATTAAAGTCATCTAGTATGAATGAAGAACTCTTTAATATAGGATGTGAACATAGAAAGGCCAGTTAGATTCATCAAGAGTTGATAACCTAAGCTTAGAGGAAAAAAAGTTCTAAAAATCTTGATTGCTAAGTTCATTCCAGATACAGTCAAGTTGACAACCAAGAATAGTCATCACAGTTGGTGTGTTGGTGTGCAGGCAAGTAAACAATAAAGAATGAATGGAATGTGTTAGAGATTTACAAGAGCTGGAATAGAAATGATGCCTCTTATGGCACTTCACCACAGAGAAGGTGAAGAAGAAACTGTCACCTAAAGTAGGGATTATGGATTTCCGTGAGTTACAAACTTGACATTATTTCTGTTACATATGGTGAAGGTGAGTCAGATGGAACTCCCATTGGATGATTTTAAAATTTTTTCTTAGGAAAAAGCAACATGGCTATTAATAGAAAATATAAGAACCACAGAAACATTCTACAAATGTACTTTAACTCATAGGTGTAAGGGCTTAAGGCAAGGATAAGTTATTTGCATTTGTGGGTGTATCCTTTTTAAAAACAAGTATTCCTCAATGGAGAGAGAACATAATGAGAAACTTTCTTCAACCTATTGTTCAGCTGCAATCATTTGTTTTCCTTTTGCTGCTTAGGCCTCATCAATATTAATATATATTAATGGCATTAGAAAAAAAATTATAGTTGTAAGCAGAAAAATCTGTGGAAGTGAACCATCCCAAAAAGGAGATGACTTCTGAGTGTCATAACTTATTTCCAGAGCTGGTGGTTTGGAAGAGGAAGAGTGGGTAATGCAGGAGTGCGGGATTTGCATTGGTCAAGTCCAAAGAAAAGATGACTTAGGCATAAACGGTTGGCAGTGTTTGTTATGAATTTACTTCTCCACTCTGCTTGGTACTATCTCTCATCAGTAAATATAAATAAATACTTCCAGAACTAAAGTCTGACTGGACTTTTCAGTAACTTCTGACATAATCCACATATTTTCTTCTTGGTAAGTTCAATAATGGGAAAGGACAAACTTCCTTCTATAAGAAATAGAACAATGATGAAGACATGGTATTTTAAAGGGAGTGAAAAGCAGAAAATGAAAAGGGACTAGCTCCTTTGGGGAAAGGGAAAACTGTAATTTTTATTTTAATGTCATCAAGGTTCAATAGGATATTTGTTTGTAAATAATGTTGTTATGGAAAGAAGAGGATCTTAGCTCAGAAAAAAACTAGGTAAGGAAAACAATTATTTTAGTTTCTAAATTACATTAATATGTTTTTATATGTGCGGTGTGTGTGGAGAAGGTAATGCACATGTTGAGAGCAGAGGAAACTTCGTGGAGTCAGTTTTCTTCTGTCTATAGGTAAGTTCTAGGGGGTTGGACTCAGGTGTTCAAGCTTTGTAGCAAGCCTCTAGCTTTTCTCTCCCATCCCTAGATATGCTTAGTTGTATTGATATCTCTAGCACTCTACCCAAATTTCTCTGGTCAAGATCCCCGGAACTGCTAGGCAGTGGTGGTGCACACCTTTAAGCCTAGCACTTGGGAGGTAGAGGCAGTTAGATCTCTGTGAGTTCGAGGCCAGCCTGGTCTACAGAGTTCCAGGACAGGTTCCAAAGCTACACAGAGAAACTCTGTCTCGAACATCCCTCCCCCAAAAGATCCCATAAAATTCAAGTCAGTCCATTTCAATTGACTAATCGGAAGCCTCAGACTCAGATGCTCAGTCTCTCCTGCTTGACGCTTTCTTGCTTGACTCCCAGGACTACCTATTCTCTGCATTTCTCTCCTACACAGAAATCTTTTGTTTTGGTTCCAATTTTTTTCCTGACTTCAAGGATTCTTGAAGATTGGGTCCTTTGTCCCTTTTTGTCTATAATGCACACTCATTTCCTTATAAACGCCTTCCAGCGTTATGCTTCAAACCATGATCTATGTTTTCAAAACTCCCAAATGTATCTTAAGACCAGTTTTCTTTTCTGAACTCCATACTAATAATCAGCAGCCTATTCAGTAGCGCAACATCAACATCTAAAGGACACTTCCAATGTTGTTTGTCTAGATAGAATGTCAGCTCCATCCCTAGTCTTTTCTGTCTCAGCAGATATTAATTCTGTTAAGCTGTTTGCACTGGCCCAAGACCATGGCATTTCAACAGTTGTAGGGACTTGTGAAATCATTATTACAATGAGGGTATAGAAAAGATCATCCCTAAATGGATTCTGATGGTGTATCCAGTTTCCCATACAGCTCCTATTCTAGGGAGCTTCTTTCTTTCTTTCTCTCCCTCCCTCTCTCCCTCCCTTCCTTCCTCCTTCCTTCCTTTATTCCTTTCTTCTTTCCTAGACCAGGCTGGCCTCAAACTCACTGAGATCCAGTTGCCTCTGTTTTCCAAGTGCTGACCTACGTCTGGTTTTTCATTTAGCATGATTTTTAGATTCATTCAAGTGGAATGAATGTGAATTTGACTTTACTTTCTACAACTTAAACCAACATCTGTTATTATGATGAATCAGAATTGGGCCAGTGTTCTTTGGTCTTCTGTAAGGGGTAGTTCAGAATAGATACATCTCAAGACAATAACTAAGACCTACAATGGTTTTCAATTGGTTTTGGGCAAAGGTAAAGGTGAAAGTTAAAGGTTGTTTACAATTGAAACCTCGTGCCTGGGAAGCTTAAACTACCAGAATATAGTCATAGTATTAAGACAAAGTTCCTTGGTTATAGAGTAGTGGTAATAGAGCTATCTCAAAGAATTTAATTAAAAAATTTCAAGGCTATATTAAACCAAGGATTTTTAAATGAGATGAAGGTAAGAAATTTTCAGAGACAGGAGGGCAATGGTTATTAATTTTCTATTTACTAATGTAGTTCCTGTAATTCAGATTGGGTGAAATTTATTATGACATAATATAAAGGATCTTTGTACTTATTAAAATTATTAAACAGTAATTTCAAAAACCTGTTGGTATCCTTGTCTTCTCAATCCAATTTGAAGTTTGTTTATTCATAGGACACTTCAAGGATGCCACTTTGAAACAACTTTCATACATTTTGATTCCTTTGGACTGAACTTCTTCCTGGATTGGATTCTTACAAGTTTCTAAAATATATGTCTGTTGGTCTTTGTTAAGACTCTGAATCATATGTCGGGAGCTGAAAGAAATTGAGTATTGTAATCTCAATGTCAAATACTTACACAAGAGTAATGCAGTTTTTCTGTTTGCATTTTATACTTTGGTATAGGCAATCTTTGAGCTCTCACCAGCCTGTGATATAGGCAGGATAGCTAGTACAAGTACCATTTAAAAAGGGGGACAATAAAGATTAAGCCAATTTCTTATGATCATATAGGTAATAAGAGGCAGCATTAAATCTAACAGTCCTATCTTCTAATTCCAGTACTTTTGCATCTATCTATCTATCTATCTATCTATCTATCTATCTATCTATCTATCTATCTTATTCAAGACAGGGTTTCTCTGTGTAGCTTTGGAGCCTGTCCTGGAACTTGCTTTGTAGACCAGGCTGGCTTGGAACTCACAGAGATCTGCCTGCCTCTGCCTCCCGAGTGCTGGGATTAAAGGTGTGTGCTACCACATTTCTATAGTTTGATCCTATTATATTTTTAAATATTTATTTTTATTTATGTGTATGTGTTTTTGTGTGCATGAATTTATGTGTATCATATGTCAGCTGTACAGATAATTCTGCAAGAACAGTAAGTGCTTTTAACCACTGAGACCTTTCTTCAATTCCATATTTCTCTCTCTCTCTTTTTCCTCTCTCTTTCCTCTCTCTCTCCTCTCTCTCTTTTCTCTCTCTCTCTCTCTCTCTCTCTTTCTCTCTCTCTCTCTTTCAATGCAGGGTTTCTCTGTGATACATCCCCGGCTGTCCTGGAACTCATTTTTTAGACCAGGCTGGCTTTGAACTCAGAGATCCACCTGCCTGTGCTTCTGGAGTGCTGGGACTAAAGGCATGAGCCACCACCACTCAGCAAGCCCCATATTTTCTTATCTTGATGTTTATAATTTGGTTTCTTTTTATAGGATATCTTATCTTAAAATGCTAGGTCCGACTATAGTTATGTCCAAATATGCCTGCCATATTATCACTTATGTAACCAATTCTCTAGGCTTTTGGAATAAGAAAGTACACATTCAAACAGAATCCCCTTTGTTGCTGTTGAATAGAAATCAGACTCTTGAGAAAAAGGAAGGAAATAAAGGCACATTATCATCTCTTGTGGTGAAACTATATAGTTGTGTAAATTTAATGAATTCTCAGATGCTTATCTGTGATTACCTAAGTCACTGTCCAGATAGTGGTTGCTTATTCTTATGGACAGGAAGATTGCCAAAGGTAATAGACATACAATAGTTACCAGTTCAGACAAAAATTCTAAGCTGGTCAATGTAATCTTTGACTTCCCTTCCTGTGCCTTTCCCAGGCTTTAGACATTTGTTTTACCTCAGTGTGGTCAATGATCCATAAACTACAAGAGACAGCAGCAGAACACGAGATTGTTGTGCATTCATCCTACATTGACAATGAACTTGCCAGAAGGTTTCATTTTTAAAATGAGAAATCACTGATAATTCAATGATAAACACATAGAATTAAACACTTAACCAAGACTTTAAAAAATCCATCGAGGACAATTTGGGTATATTGAACTTGTTTCAGAACCCTTCAAAACTGCACCTATGGATACTCTTACATCTTAGTGATCTAGACAGGTTAAGATCTAAAGATAAACTTGATCAACAATTTTTTCAAAGAATAACCTTATCTGTTGCTTTAATTCAAAATCAAAACATTCTAAGACAGAAGAAAAAGAGTAATATAGTTAGGAAAAATCAAGAGTAGTTCACCTACCTTGAATGTGTTTTTTTGGGATAAAAGCTTTGTCCAGGAATTTTCACTAAAAAAAGGAGAATATACCATAAAATATCTGGTTACATTTTAAGATCAACAAAAGTTAGTTTTTAAACTTTTCTAGGCAATCACTTTGTGTACACTTAATGTGTACCCTAAATAAAATTTAGCTCATTTTTAGTTAAATAATGTTTTGTTCGCACACATGAAATATATGAGTACATATTCCTCTTGTGAGCCTTTTAATAAGATTGGCCCAAGAGGAGAAGAAACTGGAAAAATATCTATGTATTAATTACTGATTAGGAAGTAATGTATGGGCTGGGAGTGTGGCTCCAGGGGCAGAGTAATTGCCTAGCATGGGAGAGGCTCTGAGTACACTAGAACAAAAGGAAGGTTAAAAACAAAAGGAAGGTTAAAAACAAAGAGTCCAGTGTTGGTGGCCCACACCTTTAATCCCAGCACTTGGGAGGCAGAGGCAGGTGAGTTCGAGGTGTGAGTTCGAGGCCATCCTGGTCTACAGAGCTAGTTCCAGGACAGGCTACGAAGCTATGGAGAAACCCTGTCTTGGGGTGGAGGGGACAAATTAGAAAAAGGAAAAAGGAAGCAAGAAGTTATATCCCTTTTCAGTGATACCTTCACAAGGGAAGTAGATACAGGGTATAATGAGTTAAAGTTTGGCATGGGTTCCAAGTCAGTCTAGGTTATATATCAAGACTTTAAAAAAAAAAAAAAAAAAAGGAAAAGAGAAGAAGAGAAGAAGGAAGAAGAGGAGGAGAAAGAAGAGGAAGGAGAAGGAACTACCATCACCAAAAATCAAAGCAAAACAACCCCCACAACTTGTGAAGGATATTTACATACACATTAATGTGATCAACATTTTAGAGAGTTGACCTAGGATGTGTGTGTATATGTATGTGTGTGTGTGTGCGTGTGTATATATATATATATTATTTTTCTTTACCATTATAGAATCTTACTATTTAAGTAAAATAATAAAAGAACTAGTTAACAGTGGCAATTATAATTAATAGCAGAACAAGTTAACTAGTGTATAGTGATAAAGTGTACTTTTATAATATTTCTTCCCTCTGATACAGGGGGAACTCTTTTTAAAGGTATGGTCTTACATAGTTCAGGCTAGCCTCAAATTCTCCATACAAGAGACTAACATACTCCTCATGTAATATGCAAGTATATTCACCACCTATTATTTTGATTGAACATTGTTGCTTTGGAGGAAGGTGAAAATATTTCTCAATTGATTTAGTTCTTGTTTGTCTAATCCCAGATTTATGAGACTTATTCTTTGTATTTTTACCTCTTTTCCTTTAGGATGCCTCTGTCAGTTTAACAGGTAAATGAAGGCACACCAAATGTGAGAACAAAAAATTTATTCAATTTAAAGCGAGATGGCTACCTGGGACAGTCTAGTAGCTCAGAGTAAGTGTTGTGAGGTTTATAAAATTATGGCTATATTTATAGTTTTAAACTACATGAGGCTTAGTTAAACTGTTCTGGCTAAATTAAATTGTCTTGTAAAAAGTATATTGGATATGTATCACTCTCTGGGTAGTTTGTGGGGGAACAGCCTATTGTGCAAAAGGTTAGAAGACTTAATAAGCAATGTTTTAGGAATCTGAAGTATGCCAGATCAGCTTCATCTGGGGGGTACTTGTGTTTGAACAGAGTTCAGAGATTTAATTGTGGATGTATGTGTGAGTAGATCTGTCTCCCTAGTCATTTTTTTTTCAAGACAGTGTTTCTCTGTTTTGTTTTGGAGCCTGTCCTGGAACTAGCTCTGTAGACCAGGCTGGCCTTGAATTTACAGAGATCTGCCTGCCTCTGCCTCCTGAGTGCTGGGATTAAAGGCATGGGCCACCAACGCCCAGCTCCCTAGTCCATTTTAAGTGTCCAAACTAATTCTACTTAACAATCTCAAATTAGTTTCTACATGTTGTACCATGTCCTCTATTGTGTGTGTGTTTGTGTGTGTGTGCCTGTGTAAGTCAGAGGTTGATACCCTGTGTGTTACTTGATTGTTCTATTCTTATATATTGAGACAAGGTCTCTCACCTGATTCATCTACTCAAGTCAGCCAATTTACTCTGAGGATCCCACATCTGCCCTCAGAGCACTGGGATTATAAGCAGTCCACCTACACTCTACTCTTAAATAGTTAGATATGCCCTTAATTGTCATCAAAACAACATAATCATTTAGCATTCTGTCTCAAGGGATGAATAGGTCAAGCTGGCCTTGGGTTGCTATTCATTATTTTTTCAACATACTTGACTGAAAACTGTTTCACAATAGTTGCTTCATTGCTGAAGCTCTTTAGCAACAGAATGAACTGTATTTCATTTTCATAAACTACTTGGACCAAGTGTAGTCAAAAGTTGCATGAGCCTGGAAAGTTAGGCCTAATGAATTAGGTCTAAGAGTAGAGTATTCTCAAAGTTTTTATATGCCTTAGGATTTGATGAGATGTAAATGCAACTATTAGATAATGAGGTAAAATATTCTGTTTGTCTTTTGGCAGTGTAAATCTATAAGAAACTGATTCATGTCCATAATCAGTCATGTATAGGGAAAGGCCCACTGAACCTTACTTCTCTCTGTTGAACTCTTAGTTACTGAGAGAGGGGGAGTCATTGTCTTTAGTTGTGTACCCACTGGCAATCCAACCAAGCTCCAATAGATAGTTGTAAATCTATGGTCACAAAGTCAGTTCCAGTGAAACTTAGTGAGTCACAAAACAAAAGACATGGATGTGAGAAAGGGATTTGTATAGAGGGAAGAGAACTAAAGGGGTGCAGAGAGCGAAAAGAGGGGGTAGATGCTGAGAGTAGTGTGTGTGTGTGTGTGTGTGTGTGTGTGTGTGTGTGTAATTGCCAAAGACAGTTAATACAAAATTAAAAACAACTTAATGTATAATCAATTTCTGTTGGCTTTTTCCCCCTATGTATTCCCAGAGCCAGGAAGACGCAAAAAAAAAAAAAAAAAGCTCCGAAGTTTCTGGTAAGGTGAACTGCTTGGTTGACAATCTGATTTTAAGACAACATTTTATTCTTCATATATAAGCCTTGGTCAGACAAAGGCTATTATTGTTGCATATATTCAGATTACAGATGATCACAGATTCTGAACCCTCTGTACTCACCCAAGCCTTGATTAGGCAATGGCCTTCTGAAACAATGAGCCACATAGACATCTGGTACAGTGGGCCTTGGATCTAGAGAAGATGGTAAAGGATCACAGCAAGCAGAAATGAGTGACTATTTACAGTGTCTCTCTCCTTTCAAGATGAAAAGTTCCAGTAATGTGTGAACAGCAGTTTAACTCAGTGAAATTAACATGTGAAATCTTCAAATATAAATTTTTGCAGTATTTCAAGTAATTATACCTCTGGGGACAACAATTCCTTCTCTAGGAATATATCAGAAAGAAATAATTGTGTACACAAATGGAAAGATTTCCGTGTTGTTTGCAATAGAGGAAAGTCAGAAACAAAATAAAAGGTGAATAATGGGCCTAGCTATACAAATTAAGACTTATAGAGTAAAATATTTTGCTGCCATTTTTCAATGCAAAAATGTGTATAAAATACTCTAATTTTAAATGAAAAATAAACATGTAAAACAATAAGATTATGTCATTTATTAAGATGTGGTGTCTGTGTAAAGTCTTAGAAAAAGGTAAAAAGTATTCTAAAATATTATTTTTACTTTCATATCTTTTAAAGAATCTTGTGTGTATGTGTGTGTCTGGATGCACATGTATGTGATCATGTGCATGCCATAACACATGTGTAGAGGTCAGGGGACTACCTCAGGGTAACTGGTGTACAAGCTTATGGAGATTCTCTTGGATCCTTGTCCTATCTTTCCCTAGGTGAATTGTAATTACAGATGTGTGTTCTTGTGTCTGATTTACACGGCTTCTGAGGGTCGAAAGTCAGGAACCCATGCTTGGCAGCAAACATGTTACTCAATGGAGGGGTCTTCCTAGCCCCTTTTGTGTTTATCTTTATTTCTGATTTCTGACATTTTAAACAAAAGTTATTTATAAAGAATTACTGACTTCCTTGGTGATCACTATCATAAAGAATGGCTAGTTTAAAGTTCTAGTGAAACAAATCTTATTTAACCACCCTGTTCTAGGTATGGTTTTTATCTTTCAAGGTTTAATTTCCTATTTCACAGACTGAGTGAATTTATGCACATGGGTACATATACATTTCAATTAGGACACCTCAACTCTTTTTTGGGTGGTATAAATGTATAATAAATCAGCACACATATACATAAAATTAAATAATTATTTTTGGTAAATTATCATGATTGATAAAAGTACATATCTATTATACATTTTATGATTTTTCTTAAGGGGGACTTAGGGATAAGGTGATAGAAATTAAATATCAGCAATGCTAGGTCAGTTAAGGACATGAGCAGACAGCACTTTGCAGCAGAAGCAAATGGATGTTGCAGATTTAATTTCTTTTCTGGGATCATACTCTGTTAAGTTATGAAATGACAGGAGTACACAGTTTTAAAACATCTGAGGGCAACCTTCCATCACCCTAAGAGTGTGCCTCACACATGTGGGCTCTCTGCTGTCCTAGGTCACTGACTGCCCCTGCCACTGCTCCCTGAGGTGCGGCTCACACTATGGGCATTGCACCTGCAACACAATGCTTGCATATCTTCCCTGGTTAAAAGACGAGTTCCTGAAAGGAAGGGCCGGCATCATATGTGTCTTTTTAAATGTACTTGTTTATTTATTGTGTCATGTGTGCGTGCATGAATTGTGTGTATGGGGGGAGTACATGCCACTGAGAGCGTGTGGAGGGCTGAGGACCCATTTCCACACGGGTCTTAGGGGTCAAACTCAGGTTGCCAGGTATGTGTGGCAAGCACCGTTGCTTGCTTGTCAGTCATTATGTACATCTTAGAATATTTGGCACCAAGCACAGAGGCAACCTCAAAGTTATGGCATTAAATGAGTATTGTTAAATAAATACATTGTTTGTGAGAAGGTAAAACAGAAGTTTACCTTTCACATCAGAATTTGACTCTTCGTGTCTTTGGAGTAAATGTTCTTTATCATAAACCTAATGGAACAGAGAATCAGAAAGAAAACATGATATGTTATAAACATGAAACTATGCTTCTTACATGGTTATAATATGATGGGTTTTCAACAAACATTTCTTTATTTTATTTCTCTCACATTGGAAAAAAATCAGTATTTTTGTTCATTACTAAAGAGAGTTGTTTTCCCACACAGAACTCATGTATGTCAAATAAACAAAATTAAATTAGAAATTGAGAGTATGAAATGGATGAAAATATATACAGTTGTGTGAAAAAAATCTACCAACAAGTTTCAGAACAATGCCTAAATACAAAGGTAAATAATATTTTCTTGAGCTTGTCAAGAGCTCTAAAACAAAGGAAGCTGCAAGTGTATCACTTTCTCTTGTGAAGGGGAATCCAAATCTGACTTATTGCACTAATGGAGATACATACTGAACTTTGACTGTGAACCTTGAACAATCTACAGATCACTGTGACTGAAAACATCTTAAACATTTTCAAGCTTTTGTTTCATCGCCTAACACTACAAAGAATTTTCTGATTGCTCTAATGTCTTCAACCTTGCCCAGGATCATAATTTGCTCTTCAGGTGAATTTTTTAAATCTCCTTTGAATGGACAGGTCTGGAAGGTTTGTTTGAGGTCTGTTCTGAGTTCTGGAGGGCTCCTCCCAGCTGTCTCCCCACTTCTTTCCTGCAAAGCAGCCAGGATACAGTTTAGCATGTGCTTCTAATCAACCTACCAATCTCTGCCTAATTGCTTTTTACCATATTTGCATGAGTCTTAAGAATTCCCTAAGCTTTCTTTAGCTTTCTGCATCTGTTGCAAATGAAATCAGTTCTTTGGGAAGAGACTAGGACATTATCTGCTGTGTGGCCTGGCTTGCTCAAGGCAAAAATTCCAAGCCGTAGTTCTGGATCTGGTGCTGGAGACAATGACACTCTTCTGACTGGAACCCAGCTATAGTAGTCTCAAGTCTCCGCTATTTGCCTCTTTGGGACCTGAACCCACACTTTACAAGCCAAGGCAAGAATAATCAGGGGCCAGTTATTCAGTGGTGCAGTACCCAAGACAAAACCTCTAGCCAGAAACTGGGGTTGGACTGGGGTTCTTTGTCCTTTTCTCTGTACTCACCGGGAACTTAGCCTCAGAAACAGGTAATTGGAGGCACGATTAGCTGGGAAGATATCTCTGGCAGCTATGGGGAAGGTCACCTCTTTTCTTGGCTGTGCTATTCTGCAGTATATTTCTGTCTCAGAGAGCTAGGAGTGGATCAAAGGCAGTTTGGACTCTCAGATTTGCTATTGCCAATGAGTCTGAGGATTTATTGAATAGAATATTTTCCCTTTCCTATATAATTTGAGACTTTTAATGGTTGTTCTTTCTGTGTTAAGGAATGTTTGCCACCTTGCTAGTAAAGAGATTTGCTGAGGTCTTGGCTGTCATTGAGACACCCATCTCTCAGTACCATTTATTTTCATTCCTTCGTATTCTCTAGGTTTCCTTATTTTTAAATTTCTTTTTAAGTATCATGGATTCATTCTATAAGCTTTCTCAAATTACTTTAAAATAAAATAAATACAAATGAAATTCAAACATGACATCTTAGTAAGACTTGTCTCTCATCTGTCAAGGATCTTTTGAATTTTTGCAAACAGCAAATAATATGACCAAGTTCTATTCCTTTTTTCTGAGGAAAAATGAGAACACATAACTTGCTATTCTCTTGTATTCATATTTAAAGCATTTTAAATCATTGTAGCAATCATGATTTACCTCTCTTGTGTTATTCTGGCGCTTTGCTAGGGTGGCATTTCTTTCCCTCTTTGTTTTCAGATACTTTTTCTTGTTTTTTACCTAGGTAAGAGAGTATTTTAAATTAGTATTTAATGAATACGTTAAAGACAGCCACTTTGAGTGTCTAAATACAAGCATTTTGAGACTCACTTCCTAGAAGATGGAGTAATGACCCCTTTCCTCCCACTGCAACTGTGCACCCTGAATGTATTCAAGGCAAACACAGGATTCTATGAAAAAGTAATTGGGGCTTTTGAAATGTTTCCTAATCCCCAGGAGAGAAGACTACTTCATATCTATCTGCACAGTAAAAGTTTGTGCATCTTGCCTAGCGGGCCCAAAGCCTTGGTTTTGGTCCCCAGCACACATGCATGCAAACTCAGAATTGCTTTGTTTCTATGGCTGATTTATACTCTCCAGTCTGGTGTGTGTCATGATGGGGGACCAATAACCATGCCTGGATGAGACTCTGGGTGCTTTGGAAAGAAGACAAGTACTTGTAAATCTAGCATTTGGGCAGGAAGTTAATAACTGTGACATAGAGCTGAACTGTGGAATGGTAACTCACTGCTTCCAAATGTTTTGTCCTCTATAATAGGGTTACACATCCCTTGTCTTTGCTGTGGACCTCTGTAGAACCTCTCATAAGTGGAATATACCTCTTCATTTTGTTGAATGTTGAGCTTGGCTGGCTATATGACTTACCATGGTTAGTGGATTGTTAGTCAATGTGGTATATGATGTGGTTGTTATTTTGTTGTGTCGCTCTCCCAACTAGTACATAAGAAAACAAAAGGAAAGATTTTTTCTTGTTCTGTTCCCAGCACCCAGGCAGTGCCTGGTACGTACTTTGAGCACAACATTAACAGTAAGTGTGTAATTAAATAAACGAATATTGGGTATGTTAGTGTACCATGTGTGATATTAACAATTGTGGAATTTGAGAATTAATTTCACTTCCTGGGATCTTAATATTCTCATCTATGAAGTAAGGGGGTTAAAATAAAAATTCTATTTTTAAAGATATGCATATAACCAGAAAAGCAATTATTACTACACAATAATGATTGATGCACAAACATTTTTCCTGGTTGTTAGTAATAACAATAATCAGTGTACTTGTTTAACATATCCATACTGAAGCAAACTTTTTTTTTTTTTCAAGACAGGGTTTCTCTGCATTGCTTTGGAACCTGCCCTGGAACTAGCTCTGTAGACCAGGCTGACCTCGAACTCACAGAGATCCACCTGCCTCTGCCTCTCAAGTGCTGGGATTAAAGGCGTGCACTACCAATGCCTGGCTGAAGCAAAACTTTTAATCTTACCTGAGAGGTTAACTTGAGAAGATAAGTCTGAGTGTCATTGGACTCTGAACTGTCAGAGCCTCGACTACTAAAAAGAGAAGAAAATAATAATTACAGTTTTCAGAATTTAAAATTTCAACATTGCCTTTACTTTATCATTTTATTTGAATGGACAATTCTAATTAGACAGAGAATGATATTCACTAAAGTTATTTATCATTTTGATGGTTCCATACAACCTAGAAATGGTATTTTTATTTTCTGAATGTTAGAAGCTATAAATGTTTGGGACTATGTTGCTGGGATTTAGCCCTACAAATGCATGATTTATTCTTTCTTTCTGGTTCATTTCTATGCCATTAGGGTGAAAATGGCACCTGGTACACAATGAGGTACTATCTGCTTTGTTAGTAAGTAAACAAATAAGTGATATATCTGTGGGGTTCCCTAACTCTTATGGGTATCATTAGCTCTTAAAATTAATTTTCACATCGTAATATCTGTTTTGTTTAAAGACATCGAGGGCCACCCTAAGCACAGTACCTCTAGAAACAAAAGGTCAAACACAAATCTATTTCTAATTATAATCACTTAATACAAAATTTATTTGCTTGAGCAACAACTCATGAAAGGTAATATTTCTGGGTTACATTTCTTATATATTATTGTTAATTAAGAGATTTTTACTTTTTACGAGCAGTTTTAGGTTTACAGAAATGCACAATAGATATTTCATAGTCCTCTCCTGCACAGTTTCCTCTGCTATGAGCTTCTTGTGCTACATGGTAATTTTTTACAATTGATAGACAATTTATTGTTTACTAGCTGACTCAACATATATTCTGTAAGCTTTGACAAATTTATAAAGACACGTATCTTTCACTACTACAATATCAAACAGAGTTCATTGTCTCAAAAGTTCTGTTTGACACCCATTTTTAATTAATTCTGTTTCCAGGTCTGCAACCACTGACCCTTTCTCCCCCTAGTTTTGTTTTGTCACACAGCCTTTCCAGACTTCTTTCATTTACTAGCACTGATTTACCACTACAGTGTCTTTTCCTTTCTTTCGACTAAAGCTTTATGAACAAAGCTAGCTGTGCTCAGAGGCACATCTGTCCACATCTTTGTGATGGAGGTAAGCACGTGGGCCACCTGTAGGATGCAAACTGAGGATGTCCCATAGTGTTCCTGTCTGCTTGCTATTTTTACCTTTTTAAATCTGCTATATGACCCTTGGCCATGAATGCATCAATGTGTCTGCATTCTTTCCTCCACGAAGCATGACTTAACACTGAGCATGCTCAACAATCTACTCCTTAACTGAGCATGCTCAGGAAAGCGTCTGCGCCTACAGTGCTTCCTTCCTGATATTTACGTGCTTTCTAGGTAAAATCCCCACGCTGTCTTTGAGGAAGGCATTGCTTTTTACTCCCCTCTCTGTTACAGGTAACAAATCTTTCTCAGTTATTTCTTGGCCATGTTTGTTTTGGTTTTGTATTCACCAAGATGAAAGCCATATATGTGGTTGCAATGTGGACTTAGGTTTCTGTTCTGTCATATTGTTTCATGGTTTGGCAACCCAATTATTTTTTTATCATTATATGGATAAAATTTAAAAAAAATATCATCCATCTACTGGAGGATATCTGGTTGCTTCTAGTTTGGGCAATTATAAATAAAGCTGTTTAAATACTATGTGGACTTGTTTTCAGTTTATTTGGTTTAAACCCAAGAAACAAAGATGATCTGGGAGTAGTAGTTTCATGACTCCTATGATGGGTCATATAACAGTGGCTGGTCTGTCTGAAGGTAGAGAACCTGTAGGGGGCAGTTCTGATGTGGCTACATTTTGTACATGGCTAAGATAGTGTACCTCCTTGTTGTAGCGGATGTTACATGACTGATAAGACATGCAGTCAAGGCTGTGACACCTGCGAGTGGGACAATCCCGTTGGCCATTTTCTTCTAAATGGTATGGAGTTACAGGTTTCCTTGATGAACTGGATCTATCACTCAAATCTGAGGATACCCCCAAATGGTAATGGACTAGAGATAATAATTGCAGTCTTTGAAAGTAGCATGTGGTAGAGAGTAGGTGATGGTTATTGGGAGTGGTGGGAGAAGGAGTAGGTGGTGAATCGCTTGTAAGTGGTACCCAAGCAGACCCAACACCTACCTTCCAGGAGGGTGAGCGAGTGCTGTGCTTTCATGGACCACTTCCCTATGAAGCAAGGTGTGTAGAGGGCCACAAGGACAAACAAGGGAGATAGCTCACACACCACAGTGGTTGGAACAGGTATTGGAATGAATGGGTTCAAGAAAGCAGAGCACTTAAATATGTGGACACTAATTTGCAGAAGCAGCAAGAACTTTAAAGGCCCATCAATCAATCAATCAATCAATCAATCAATCAATCAATCAATCAATCAGGAGCAAGGCAATCTGAGGGCAAGAGGAGAGGGGCTGCTCCCGGTAAGAAGACATCTGGCCTGCAACAGAAAAATGTTGAAGTGACAACAAAAAAGAGTAGGCAGAAATGGAGATGGTGACAGTACCAGGGGGACAGACACTTCCGTCTCCTGAGGAAGAGGCCCCGAGTGGATCCTATTGTTGAGAGTGAAGAAACGTGAACAGGGTTGCAATTAGAGTCCTGAAAGCTGACACCATGGCTCATGGATGCCCAGGACTTGACCCCCAGGCAAATGATCTCAGCAAATGTGGCGCTCTATGCACGGGGGACGTGGGTGCATCAGGGTGATCTATGAAAAATTCAGCATACTGTAGTCTCTCAGATTTCCTCAATACCTGGCGAAGAATTCTGCAACTTTGTTCAGTGCCAGTGATTACGCAGTGGCTCCTCCTGAGAATCATCGGAAAGCCGTGTGAGGGGTGTGCTCGCTCTCACTCGTGTTTGGATCTCTGTAAACAGAGTTTGGATCTTAGTCCTTCTGTACTTTGAAGATGTTAGTGCATAACAGAATCGATGCTTGTTTTCTGTTTGATTTTAAATAGAGAAAATAAAGGGAGCTCCTTTTCTCTTTCGCTGTAAAGTTTCTACAGGTGAATTCAATGATGGACAGTAGAGACGTGCTGTACAGCAGTGATTCTCGACCTTCCTAACGCCGTGACTCTTTAACCCCGTTCCTCATGTTGTGGTGAGCCCCAACCTTAAAAGTATTTTGTTGCTACTTCATAACTGTAATTTTGCTACTGTTATGAATCATAGTGTAAATATCTGGTATGCAGGATAGCGGATGCATAACCCCAAAGGGGTTGCGACACACAGGTTGAGAATCACTGCTGTAGAGTATTATTGCTAGCCGACACGACTGCTTCTGAATGCTGGTAGTGTTCCTTTTATAATATGTGTTACTGCTCTATGACAAAATGCTGATTCCTAGTGCCCAAGGTTCACTTCAGTCCATGTAGTTGAACACTCATCCACTTGTGCTTCTTTTTGTTAAATGTGATTAAAAAGCCCAACCTTTGCAAGTCATCCATGCCGTTCCTTAGACATTTTATCTTTGTTCAATTGTTGAAGAATAGTGGGTTCATGATTTTCGTATTTCTGTCTAAGGCATGTTTTAATATGATACATGCAATTCATTGTGTAGCTGCAGTTTTAAAGAAAAGTCTCTACTGTAGGAGTTGTTTTCAGATGCTCAATAATTTTCCTTTAAATTCCAAATGTAAAGAAAATAGCATGCACAGGTCAGGAGGCTGTGGCATCAGTTTTGTAGCCTTCTGTGGATGGTAAGACATGCAACTAAGAAGACTGATTTATCTGCCCATAAAGAGCTTGCCCAATTGAGGAAAGAATTATAAGGAAAAGACACATGGGTGCTGTTTTTTCATGCCAGTCTATGATTTTGCAGGAAAGATGGAAAATAGGAGAGAATAGGTGACATAATAGAAGATACCTCTCAATCTACCTTTAATAGAGAAGGAGGACAATCCATTTTCCAGTATGAAAATTCAGGCCTTTATAATGACTCTTATAGGAAACATGACAACTAGGGAATATTCTACATCTGAACTGTGATTGTCTGTGACTCAAATATGATGTACCTGTTCACCTGCCTTCTAACTATTTGTGATCATACATATGAATTATTGATGTGGAGGAATATTTCTTTTTTGGTGGGCAATACAGCAGAGACTCACAAATGGTTAGGTTGCTGAGAATAACTATCATTCCATCTGAGGCTCAGGGAACAACACAGAAGAGAGGGTGGAAAGAATGTAAGAGCCTGAGGAAAAGGCAGAGTGTTGTACAGCTATTTCCTCTGACCGAGAACATTTCTCCCGGAAGGAGGTTCCCCAGACTTAGGAAGCTAAGAAACCTTTCAAGGCCCAGGGAGTTCATAAAACTTATGCGATTCAGGAAAGTCAGAAAGTTACAAGATTCACAAAACCCCTACTTCAGGTTACATAAGAAGTCAACTTCTGGAAAGGAGGAGACTTTCTTTGATAAAGATATGACCAAGTTGGCTGGGTGGTGGTGCACGCCTTTAATCCTAGCTCTCGTGAGGCAGAGGCAGCTGGATCTCTGAGAGTTCGAGGCCAGCCTGGTCTACAGCGTGAGTTCCGGGACAGCCAGGGCTGTTACATAGAGAAACCCTGTCTTGGGGGGAAAAAGATATCAGCAAGCTGCTCTGGGGTCACTGTGGGTGCAGCTTTTGTGAGCTGTCACCTGTGCTGTGAAGGGCTTTCTGGTGTTGTAGCCTTTGTGTCACTAACACTTCTGTTGGTAATTCCAATATGTTCCTAGGCTCACAAAGCTAAATTTAGGTGGGATTACTTCTTTTGTCTGTTACTGGTGCCCTAGCTGGGATGAACAGAATTTTATTCACGTCTTCCCAGGAAGAGTCACCCAACATAATCCCATCAAAAGAGAGGTCCTATTTTCTCACATTTTTACTACCATTTAGTATTGTCAGTGCTTTAGAATTTTAAGAAGTTCTGAAATGTTTGTCATGCTAATTCATTTTTTAATTTGTAATTTCCTAATGACAAATGTTAAATTATCATTAGTCTTTCCCTTTATTCATTTTAAAACTTATCATTTTATTGTTTTATTTTTAAAACATGCCTGAACAACTATGCATTTTTATATCCTCATTCCCTATAAAAGATATTATCCTATCTGTATAAAACTTTTCTGTGCTTATTATATACTATCGGCATATATAGATATTCCTTATTTCTGTATAATTTAATCCATAGTCTTAATGTCTGTCATTGTTGATGGAACATTGGAACACTACCTGTTTCTAGTAGCAATTCTAAACCAGGGTAAGAGGAGTAAGATCAAGTGTTTTAATGTACAGAGGAATTGTTTATTATCTAGCACCGAGAACACTGCACAAATAGAGTGTCATCATGCGTTGCCTAGAATGGCTCTTGGTGTTTGAGACAGGGCATCAGGGTGTAGTGCAGTCTGGTCTGAAATTCATGACCCCCTTGCTTTGGTTCCCAAGCCCTGAAATTATAGTTGTGCACTCTCATGCCCAATTAAAACTGATTTTAAAACATGATGGCTCTGTTTGAGATATTGAGACATTGTTTTCTTAGCACCAACGTGCTTATCACTAAGAATCTGTAGGATATAGAACTCTCTGGTTGGTGTCATTCCTTTTGGAAACTGTATGATATGTAATAGGCAATGAAGAAAATTCACTCTTGAAATGCAGTAATACTTTATGTAGTCATATGCTTATCTGTCTTTTTAAAAGAGGAACATGGAAACTACCACATGCTTTCACTGGAGAATTGAAAGGTTCAGAGAAAACTTCCAAATATCCGAGGAACTTAGTATACAGAAGGTGTAGCTGTAGTCTGTGCTTAAGAAATCAAGATCATAGTAAGAAATAGGTGAAAATATGTGAAGGAAAAGAACTCTAACAACAAGAATTAGCAGGGAGAAGAGTTATGTAGCACTTGTGATTGACAGAACTTGACAAAAATTGCATAACTATTCACACATGGTTGTTAAGCCAGGAGAAAGACACTTTTAGATTATCTGAAACCTAATGGTTATTATTTTAAGAAGATAAAAGATTTACATTAGGAAATAGAGATAAAATATGCACTATTTATTATTCATTGACTCACTTTTAGAAGAACCTATACTAGACAGAAAATGATTTTCTCAAAAAGTAATTAGGTTCCCATCACAGACTTCCTTCCTGTCCATGTCATATAATTAAAATTGAATATTCTAGACAAGGCTGTATTAATTATTATTAAATTGTTGATATTTTTATTTGATACACTGTCAGTATTGGGGAATATTTAACTTTCTGACTTTATGTGGTATTCATCTATATAATTTTAGTAATTTCTATAAAACAAATGAGATATTTAAGGTCTACAGTGAGTCACCCAATGCCTACTTAATTATATTATATTTTAATATACAAAGAAATATCCTGTTATCCTTCTCTCTATACAAGAAGAGTAATGAGCAAGGGCCAAGGCAAAGAAAAAGACAACCTTTTCTGAGTCATAATCACAGCAACCTAATTGGGCCATATCTTCTATTGTCCTACCATCTCCCAACAGTCCAAAATTGAATCCAGCAATAGATTGAACCAGCTTTAACAGCCCTCATGATCTAATCCTCTCTGGAAATGTCCTCTCAACTGCACCAAGAGGTATGTTTTACTAATCTTTAAGATGTCTTTAGAAACCAACCAATCTAACAATCAGCACTAATCTCACAATAGCCAACCAATATTCATCCAAGAGTACACAACAGGGAAAGGAAGACTTTTCAACAGATGGTTCTAGGAAACTATATATCACATTTAAAAGAATGAAATTGGACATTTATAATGTAAACACAAAAGCTCAAAATAATAGCTCAAGTAGCTATTAAAATAGTATGGAGGTTCCTTAGGAAAAAAAATATAGTGACTACTAGGTAATCTGATAATAACTCTGACTAATGTTAATGATACACCATGACTGGGTCTCAATCCAAGAACCCAAATCTAGAGCCGACATGATAACACTAAAATGTTTTGTACAACATTTTTCAAAAACAATTCACAATTCTACTTATAATAAGCATCTAAAATAGTTTAATTCATAGTATCAGAGAATGGTGGTTGTTAGGAGCAGAGGCAAAAGGAATGGAAATTATTAATTTATAGACATGAAGGTCAGTTAAGGAAGAGCAGGCAATTCTAGAGTTCTGCAGTACAATATTGTACCAACCAACAATAATAACAATGCACTGTCAATTTAAAATTTCATTGAGGGTAGGTCTCTTTTAAGAGTTTGTAACACCTGAAATTTAATTATAAAGAGAAAGTATCCTACCCCAAATGCTAAAAGGAACAAATAAACCCAAACTCAAACAAACCCTAAACATTTCTGAGTAAAGAAGCCCTTTCTGCATGACTTGAGAGCTTCATCATATGGCCCCAGGCAATGTGCCTCTTGGAATTTTATATGTGAAACCTATAACATTAGACTGATACTCCTATAAAGGGTGCACATGGTAAACAATGCAACACATTGTACATTTACATTGGCAATCACATTGCTTGATTTCTACTCAAGGGAAATGAAAATGTATCAGAGAAAAACCTACACACGGATGCTTTCAGAAGTTTTATTCATAATGCTGACACTTGGCAGCAACTAAGGTGTTCTTCAGTTGAGTGGGTAATTGTGGTATATTCAGACAATGCTTACTATTTGGAGCTAAAAACAAATGTGCCATCACACCATGAAAATACAGAGGAAGTTTGTAGGCATGTTACTAAGTGATAAAAGGAAATCTGAAAAGCTAAATACAATCCAATCAAACACCATTCTGAAAAAGGAAAAACTAAGTAGACAATAGATATTATAGTTGTCAATTGTTAAGGAGGGGATGGATAGAGTTATGAGCCCATGAATGAAGATACTCTGTCTTATACTTCGATGGCAGGAACATGCCATTATAAATTTGTTCAAACCCACAACATATGAAACAATGTTCTGACTGGAGTATCTGTTAATGTGAACTGTCTGTTAATGAACTTTGCTCACTGAAACATACTTATCATCCTGGTATGTTGATAACAGGAGGGGAAAGCTCTAGACATATAGGAACAGGGGATATATGGGAAATATCTCTATTGTCTACTCAGTTTTGCTGTGGACATAAAATGCTCTAAATGAGAAAAAGAGAGAATGCAAAAACAATTTTGTGTGTCTTTCATATATAGTAAACACATGGCACACTGCACTGCTCAAATGAAACCTTGATATATTTGACCAAAATAATACACTTGGGAAAACTTTTCCTAATATTGGTCAGAATTTCCTGTGTGGAACTGACACTAATCTAAGTATTATGAAAAAAGTTCAGTAAAACAATGTAAACATTACTTCAACTACCTGACTTACCTAGATTCTACATCCAATGAAATTTCTACTAGAGAAGTATCTGAGTCATCAAAGACTCTTTCCAAGTTCATACGTTTTTCCATTTCTTCTAATTCTTTCAGGCACTGAAAATACTAAGGAAAAATAATAAATGAGTTTATTATAAGAATAACATTACTTTCTAATTAACATATATACATATGATATATACATATACATATACATATACATATACATATATATATATATATATATATATATATATATATATCCTTTGTAACAGTTATTGGGTTACTACAAACACCCGAACCCAGAAAGCTACTGGATGTTAAAAGGGAAAACCATCTGTAGAACAACAGCAGACAAGTTATTTATCTGACAGCCTGAATCTGATACTTACTCAAATTGATTTGACTTACCTTGCTCCGGTCAGGATCACAGTAGTCCAGTAGAGAATCACAAAAATGATATCCCATTGACTCTAAGTCTTTTGTGCTGAAATGAGTGCCTCGTTTATTGCCTAAAACACCAAAAAATTTATTCACCCTGGAGGATGAGTTACTAACTTTTCTTCTCAGATAAATCTAAATTGTGAGGCACTATAAATAAAACACGGGTACAACTCCACATTCTGTCCTTTGGATTTTCTTCTCTGGAGCAGGTCATTTAACAGTGTAATACTTTTGCTTATTCCTTTCCCACAACCCGGAGCAACCCGGTGAACACACTGATGTGTATTGCAAGGCAAAAAAAAAAAAAGTCAGCAGTTGTTAGCAGTGATGGTAACTACTCAGAAAAAGTCCATGAGAAAATATTTTGTTGTCATCGTGAATGATATTACCTTAGTTTCAGATCCCATAAGAAACTAGGGGATCTCCAGGCATGGTAGCATATACAGTCAGTTCCAGTGACTCAGAAGTAGAAGCAGGCAGATCTTTGTGAGTTTGAGGCCAGTTCATTCTACATAGTGAGTTCCAGGACAGCCAGGGCTATATAGAGAGACAATGTCTCAAAACAAGAGCAAAATTAACACAAATACTAGGTAGATATTACATATATGGATCTCCAGCATTTTACTTTTTCAAAACGGGTAAAGTTCTCTTATGTAGCCCATGCTGGCCTTGAACTCAAGATCTGCCTGCCTTTGTCTCTTGAGTGCTGAGATTACAGGCAGGTACCACCATAAAACTTAGATTTGAAATATTTCCCAAGAGTGTTAAAATCACTGTGATACAGAATATTCTCACTTTACTAATACATGCTAAGTATGACAGATATTTCTTATGTGAGACTACAGAGCATAGCTTCATTTTTAGTTGCAGGAACCAAGGGCTTCCTTTTAAATATAAATCGACAACAACCAATGAGTGAATGAACCAACCAAGGAAACAAACGATGCAAACAGCCAGTCTATTTTTGCTTGGCAAACAACAAATAAAATAAAAACATTTCAAGTAAGTACATGGCTTTTTCTTGACATCATCAAGGATTCCCTTTTTTTTTTTTTTTTTTAAAAAAAAAAAACAAAAAACAAAAAACAAAAAACAAAAAAAACCCCAAAGGAATTCCCTTAACGGCAACAACAAATACTTGAAGATTTAGCAAGTTCTGGTGCATCCCAGAACACTCTTTTTATAAACAAAAGGAAATGATAACAGAGATGCAACACAATAGAAATTTATTCATCCTGCTTATAGGACTGAGCATACATAAGTGTGCATTTAAATGGGAAGAGCATTTTCACTACGGAACTGTCCATATCGTTAACCTCACAGCAAAGTCTAGCCTTGATTTACTGTCCAGGAAGAGGTCATCAAGGACAATTACCAAGAGTAGATCCGCAGAAGGTGGCCTCCAGTGTGAAGCTGTTCCTGATGCCCATCTTCCACATCACAACCCTTCCTGTCCCTTCCTTGCTCTTCTGAACGTTAAATTTGCAAGCTGAGAAGGAAAACTGAGAAGCAGTGGTTAGAAATGGCAGGTATGCTTCTTAGGAAGAGGTTAAGAAGGGACAAGCAGGCAGCCTCTTTTCCTTTATTATTATTACACACAGATACAAGCATCCTTCTCTTTGATTTTTATGTACATTTGATACATATGTACAAATATATGGGGAATAAAAAAATTCAAGGGAAGAGTGGCTGGAGGGGAAAAATAGGGGAGAAAGTCATGTATTTTTCCTTCAATTAAAAAAAAATTAAGTGGACAAAAATCAATAAAAAATAAAATAGCATCTCTGCAAAAATTGTAATTCTCAAAGCTGAAGGTGTTACATTTTATTTCCTGGTCAATAAAAATAACTATTTTTACTTTAATTCACTGTGTGGTTCAGATTCAATTTCTGCCACCATTGTCCAAGCTGGAGAATAATTAATTTTACAGAAGATGTATTTATATTTTGAGAAATAGAAACTGTAACCCCAACAATAAATATACTTTTATCACCATATTTACTTGTCCCAAATAAACTTATTAATCTTGGCTTCTATTACTATAGGATCTCATACTTTTAGGAACATTTTGTGTTTTGTTGCTTGCTTGTTTTTTTTTGTTTGTTTTTGCTATTTTGAGGCAGTGTCTTGTTCTATAGCCCACACTAGTGCACTAGCCTCATCCCTGCTGAGATTACAGATGTGTACCACCACACAAAGAATCTTGTTTTTTCAGTAAGCTCCAGAAAGTCTGCATGTTTCAGAATGAAGATTCTTCCTGTAGATTTCCAGAAATAGAATCAGGAGTCTTTGCTTTCATATGAAATACTGTTGTTTGGCTTCTTTTCCTAAGACAAGTGTCCACCAAGAGATTGGGGGCTTTATTTATTATTTTTAACATGAAGTAGTTTATTTGTGTCCATTCTGTGATTTTTAATGAGTGTAGAGATTCACTTAATTACTAGCATCACATACTCCCTGCTTCCCTGCCTTTTGTGACCCCCCCATGCTAGCTATCCCCTTGCTGTCATATTCTCCTGTCCCCTCACCGTTTCCTTTGTGACCATGTGTGTGTTTTCTTGACTTCTGTCTAAATGGAATCGAGTTTGCAATATTTTGAGACTGGCTTCTCTAGAATAACACCTTTGAGCTTTATCCAAGATGTTGCTGGCAGGGAATGCCATTGTATGCCTATACTACATAAAGTCTAGTTTGGATGATATTTTAGAAATTAAAAGAGATTCTAAGAATATTCTTATGTACAGGGTTACATATGAAGTAAGTTTTCTTTTTCTTCTGTGGTTGATCTCTAGGTATATGATTGCTTGATCACATGATAATTGTACCTTCTTCTCATCCCTTCTCCCTCCCAACTTCATGTCCTTCTTTCACACATTTTTATCTATTTCAAATATCATTTTATTCATTCTTTGATAATTCCATACAATATATTTTGGTAATATTCATTTCCATGTCCCAATTTCTCCCAGATCCTTTCCTGCCTCCCTACCCACCCAACTTCATGTTCTCGTTCTCTCTCTCTCTCCTCTCTCTCTCTCTCTCTCTCCCTCTCCCTCTCCCTCTCTCTCTCCATCATCCTCATCCACAACAACAAACCCACGGAATTCAGCTTCTTTTGGACTACTACTCCTGAGTGTGAGGTCTGCACTGGAGTGTGGTCAATACACTATGTATCAATCTATTGAAGAAAACTGCCTAATAGTTTCTTAGAGTAAGGACTTCGTGCCCACTTCCTCTGTTCCATGTTGGGATTTTGTCCAGCTTGAACTGGAGCAGGTCTTGTGTATATTGTCACAGTCTCTGCGAGTTAATATGTGCATCTGCCCTGTTGTACCTGGACAATGCTGTTTCCTTGAAGTCATCTATTACCTCTGGCTTTTACTCTCTCTGTTTCCTCTTCTACATACATTCCTGAGTCTTGAGAGTGTGATATAGACATCCCTCTTAAGGATGAGCATTACAAAGTCTCTTTTTCTCTGTATGTTGTCCAGTTGTGGGTTAATTAGCATCTAATGCAAGAAGATCCTTTTCTGATAAGGGTTGAGCAATTTAAGGATCAATGAGTATAGCTATAGCCATGTCATCAAGAGTAGTTTTACTGCTATGCCCATTTATCAGAGTAATAGTAATAGGTTTCCCTAGAGTCCATGTCCACACATGAGTGTGGAGGCAAGAAGACAACTTGTAGGAGTTTTTTCTCTACTCCCCCCACATGGGTATGAGGTGTCAAACTTAGACAAACTTAGCAACAGATGCCTTTACCTGCTGAGCCATCCTGTTGGCCCAGGGATTTTAAACATGGAATGACAGTTTGTATCTCTCTCTCCAGCAAATCATGTGACTTCTGAGAATATGGTATACGTTTCCTAAATTTATTAATTGAAATGTATGTTACAATCTTTCAGTGTTTTATAACAACTCATGAAACTTTCATCAAATACAAAAATCCCATGGTTCTTGAATAGAGCCACTAGGCTGCCCTGATTGTGCTTGTCTGCAGAATCTGCTCCAATTAGCATTCCTCTTCCATTCTTGAATTGGTGATTTTGTCATCTTCCTTTTTCGCCAGTTTTGGTAATGTGTTATCAGTACTAATGGATCTTTCCCAGTATAAGCTTTGTGTTACTTTGTGTTTCTCCATTATGTCTGCTTCCAACATCACTAATCTTTTATTCTGCTTGTTTTCAGTTTATTTTGTTTCCCCTTTTCTAGTTCCTTATGTAAAAACCTACATATTGACTTGAAATCTGGTTTACTCTAATATAAACTTTTCTTCCTAAAAAATTCATTCTAAGCAGTACTACATTAGCTGAATCTCAGATTTTTTTTCTTTTCTTTTTTCTTTCTTTCTTTTTTTTTTGTGTGTAGTACATTTCTAATCTTTCTTGAAATTTTGTCTTTGGCCTCTTTAGAAATGTGGTTTAATTCCCAAGAGTTTGGACATTTTCTTCTTTTGTTGACTTCTAGTCTATTTCCCCTGTGGTCAGAGAAGATACTTGATGATTTGAATTGTTTTAAAAGACCTATTTTATGGTAGGATCTGGTCTGCACTGATGACGTTTCCATGAGCGTTCACATATATTGTGTACACTGCTCTTCAGCAGAGTTGGTCTGTAATTGCCAATCAAATCCAGCTGGCATTGGTCAGTTCTTACTGGTTTCACCTGTTTTCTATTACCTGTTCTTGTTTACTGAGAAAAGCATTTTCTCTGATTGCAGGTTTGCAATGTTGTAATGAGAAATGTGTCAGACCCAACGTAGAATTGGAGGTGTCTGTATTTTAACAGTCACTGTATTAGGAAACATCTGTTTAAATGTAGAATGGCTGCTTACAGTGCTCAAAAGACAGGCCCATTTTATGTAAGGCATAACTAATTAGAGGTTAGAGAATTTAAGAAACATGCGGATAAATATATGCTAAAATAGCTTAGAGAAGTTGGATAACCTTATAGGAGTAATAAATTATACCTATGAGTGTTGACATAATAATAGATTCAGGTATGAGATTGCTTTCTCTGATTTTCCCAAAGGGATATATATTCTCGGAGTAAAAATCTGTTCTTTCTATAAATAGCTATTTCTATCAGATCACCCTTTCTGTTTGGTACATTTGAACCCCAGGTAGCCTCAGGAAACAGTAAGTATATCCCAATAAGTTTTTTATAATTAAAATGTTTGGTTAAGAACTTGAAGTCTGGCCCGGGTGTTGGTGGTGCACCCCTTTAATCCCAGCACTCTGGAGGCAGAGGCAGGAGGATTTCTGTGAGTTTGAGCCCAGCGTGGTCTACAGAGCAAGTTCCAGGACAGGCTCCAAAACAATACAGAGAAACCCTGTCTTGAAAAACCAAGGAGGTGGGGGGGGGGGGAAGAACTTGAAGTCTTTTTGTTGTTGTTTGTTACATTAATTCTTTTCTCTAAAAAAGTAAAATGATTTTAACAATTCGTCAATTGAGCAGCTCCAACATTTTCACCATTCACAAAAATAAATATACTGTATTTTCTTCTAATTCTACCTTCTATGTATTTTTGAATATTGGTCATTATTTTTTTCTTTGAAAAGTTCTAATAAATAAACTATTTCTTAAGATCACAACCTTTAGTCTGCATAACATACACACTAAAAACTCTTAAAAATGTTAGGACTTGAAATTGGTAATACAAATGACTAACTGAGGAAACTTCAAAAGGTGGAATAAAAGGGCTGGTCTTAGGACTCAAGAACAGAGGAGCTTTTGCTTCTGTTTTTATTTTTAAAAAAATATTTCCAAATTATTGGGCATTAAACAGACCCCAATCATTGTTTTCTCATGGCCCATTGTGAAAATCAATTAAAAACTAAACAAAAAAGCTGGGTAGCAAGCAGGAGAAGCCCCTTGCCTTTCCCACAAGAGCAGCATTTATAAAGAAAAGCGGAGCTCTCAAACGTACTTACTTTATTTGGGCAATTTTTGCTCAGCATGAGTGGGAAGATCCGCTGCTGTAAGTATAACCCTTTTGCCTTCTGCCTGTGGCTGCCATCACAGCCATACATGAAAATGTTCTGCTTCCTACTATGGCCATGAAGGTCACAGTACAAAATGACCTCTCGTTTCTCCATTAACCTGTCAAAAAGAAAAGGAGTAAGTCACCAAATTTTGCCTCTTATAGGTCGTAAGACTTACAAATACAATAAACAAACAACATATCCTTTTTTGACTTTTTTATGCTCTAGTTTTCCGATGGAACTACAAATGTCCCCCATTCCCACGACTCCTAGTAGATCGCTCTGCTTTATACTTTGGTTTTGTGTTGTCCCCAGAAGACAGATTACCCTGCCTTTGACCATCACCTGAACAAACGCTCTCTCTCTCTACCTGACTAGCGAGTCTACCTACTTCATCTTTCAGTGTTCCCAGCCTTCAGAACAAGCTTTGTGTTTCCCTTGCCTACCCAGCCAGCTCAGTGCAGGACTTGGTAACACCTTGGTTATATTATTTCCTTGTCGCCTGTCTAGGAAAATTTCATGTCCCATACTTAAGCTTGTTAAAGATGGGGAATGTTCAAAAATCTTCTAGAACAGTGCTATGCATACAAGCATTCAAATATTTGTGAACAATCGAGTGCCCCAGAATGTGGTCCTGAAAGTAATAGTTGACCTCAGAGAGTACCATTCTGAGAAAAATGACACTGAAATTTACACTGATGTTTTTTCTAATAAAGTTCTAATAGATACTTAAAGGAAATTATCATATATTCCTTAAGAGGACAACCCTTCACCTGATTAATTTAGCACTCAGTTATTTTAAATTAAAAAGCAAGTTTTTCAAACTGATGATGATGATAACTGGCAGAAGCTTTTTTTTTCTTTTTTTAGTAATTTGATATTTTTTAATTAAAAAAATTTAATTTAAATTAAAAACAACTTATTTTACATACCAATCTCAGTTTCCTCTCCTGTTCTCCCACACCCACCCACTAACCCCCTCTCCCATCCCCCATCCACTCCCCAGGGATCATCAAAGTCTGCCATATCATTTGGGGCAGGGCCTAGGCCCTCCCCCATGTGTCTAGGCTGAGAGAGTGTCCCTCCATAGGGAGCGGGCTCCCAAAGCCCATTAGTGCAACTAGGGATAAATACTGGTCCACTGCCAGAGGCCCCATAGACTGCCAGAAGAGGTTTTAAAAGTGGAGCATGCCTTCTGTATCTGGGTGACAATTGTGTAGCTTGGACTTTTGTGTGGCCCGTAGCAGTGCGACCAGGACCTGTTCCTGATGGTGAGCTGGCTCTTTGGAACCTGTTCCCTACAGTGGGATGCCTTGTTCAGCTTTGATGCAGTGGGAAGGATCTTGGTCCTGCCTCAGCTTGACATGCCATGCTGTGTTGATCCCATGGGCAGTCTTCCTGGGTCTGAGTGGAGACAGAGGACTGGAGGCGAGGTAGGGGGGTGGAGGGTGGGAGCAGGAGGAGAGGAGGGAGATCCACAGCCAAGCACTGGGCTGAGTTCCCAGAGTCTAGTTGAAGAGAGGGAGGAGGGATTAGATGAGCAAGAGGACTGGTCAGGATCATGATGGGGAAACCCAGGGACAGCTGACCCAAGCTAATGGGATCTCATAGCTTCTGGACTTATAGCTGGGGAGCTAGGTCCTACGAATGTGGGTGACAGTGTGCGGAGGTTGGTCTGTTTGTGGGATCCCTGGCGCACAATCTGGCTTTTGGAGCTCATTCCCTATGGTGGGATACCTTGATCTGCCTTGATGTAATGGAGAGGGACTTGGTCCTGCCTCAACTTGATATGTCAGGTGTTATGAGTAAGGTTTTTTCTGCCTGCCTGGACCCACAGCTGTGCCAGCCCCAAATAACACACTGAGGCTCTGTATTAGATATAAAGCTGTAGGCCAGTTACTATTTTCTTATCAGCTGGCTCTGTCTTAAGTATTTACCCATTTCTATTAATCTAAGTATTTCCACTCCACATGGTCTCATCTTACCAGAGAGAGGGCCAGGACCTCTGTTCTCTCAAGTCTCTACCTGCTGACTCCTCCTTCCTACTTCCTCCAACCCTCCTAGTCTCCTAGTCCCACCTATCTTACTTTCCTGTTGGCCAATAGTGCTTTATTCATTAACCAATAAGAGAAACATATTTATAGAATGACATCTCCCATCAGTCAGGCTTAGTTGATTCCCCTTGGGAGTCAACTTACCCTTACCCTTTCTGAGGAGTGGATGAGGGGTGGGAGGGGGTGGGGGTGAGAGCGGGAGGAGAGGAGGGAGGGGGAACTGTAGATGGTATGTAAAATGATAAAAAATTTAAAATTAAAAAAATGGGGAAAAAGACAGTAATCTCTATAATGGAAGTTGTTATTATAACAATTGAGTCACCCTAAATATTTACAGTGAGTTTTCATACCTATATAATTTTATTAACACTTTTCTTTTGCATGTGAGAAATCATATGAATACATTTAGAGCGTTCAATGTTCTGATCCTCATTTGGGCATATTTGTAATACTTTTCCCATTTTATCCTCTTAATTTGAGGTATTAGTCCCATTCTAGAGACAACAAAACTGAGAGTTACGTTGGTTTTTAAATTGCACAAAGGTGCACAGCAACTGATGTAACATTAACTCTAATATAGTAGTTTTGAGCCCCAGGCCCAAGGAATGGGTGTTCTGTTTCCAATAGACTTTCTATTCATGACTGTTATTACCTGAATCTATCAAATAATTCACTCTTCAAAAAACACAAGTACTAAGTTGATTTTACTGTTCTAGATTTAGAAAATTTAAAGGTGTTCAAATTCTTCTGTGAAGAAATGAGACTATTATTCATGATTTAAATAATTACACCAACTAATAGCTTAAGGACTCAGCCAGTGGTGCATGCCTTTAATCCCAGCACTCAGAGATAGGCAGATCTCTGTGAGTTCTCTCTGGTCTACAAAACTACACAGAAAAACCCTGTCTCAAAAAACAAAACAAAGCAAAACAAAAAAGACTAGGGACACACCCAGCACTGCGTGATTGGTAGAATGCCAGAGGCTTTGATCTGTAGTTGATTTTCATATGTAAATGATAAAAAAATACAGCATAACCATCAAGGTTATTATAAGCTTTACTAAAAAATCAAATCGTAATATGCAAACTTCACAGTTTCACAAAACGATTGAAATGTTCTGGAGTTTGTTCCATCATTAAAGGGAAAGAGGCTGTTTACAGTGCCAGAAAGGTGTATTATCAGAGTTGGAAAGAAAGGGAAATTGCTTATGTAGTACCTTAAGATAAAGTAAAAGAAATAAATGGAATTGTATGAGCAAAGTTCTTATCACCAAACTTACTAATTAAGTAGAGAGACAATTTGAAGATTATTTTACCTATGGATCATGTTCCTTGTATACCAAACAGAAGGGAAAGATTCCTTCAGGAGAGATGTATAATTACGGTTTAAATCCCGTCCAGCTAAGGAACATCGGTAATTTCCCACAATCACACCATCTGGATTCAGCATGGGTACCACCTTGAAGACGAAAGTGTCCCGAAGCAACCGTGCATCACTCGAGTCTCCTAAAATATAATCTAGGAAGCCTTTCATGATCCAAGAGCTGTTGGTCTCTCCTGGATGGACCCTTGCAGTCAAAATCACAGCCTTGCGCTTTCTTGAGTCACTGTTCTTCAAGGGAGTAGTGATTGTCAAGACATACACCATATTCCTAGCAAGTGTGTGGCACAAGACACGTATTTTACAAAACTTTGATCTTACTGGGTCACTGTTGATGCCAGAAAGGTATTCTTGAAGGTTGGTGTAAGTGTATGGATAGCAGTGAGCAAAGTAGCAAGTGTCCTTGTTGTGTGGAAACTGAAATGTCCATGTAAGAGAAAAAAAATGGCGCCCATCTTGCCCAAGATTGTTTTTATAATACTTGATTTGGTCTCCTATTCTCTGCCAGCCGATGTTATGAATCTTGGCTTCTTTTTCAGAATAGAACAGTGGCCTCATACCCCGATTGTAAAGACTAGCAGGCTTGGTGAAGTTAACAATAGTGAATCTGTAGACTGTTTCTGCTTGGGTATTAGTGACCTGGAAATAGTACCACTGAGTATGCTTATTTGTGAAGAGGTCTGGGCGCACAGTCAACTGGTATTCATAATCTGCCCTAATACACAAAAAAGGAAGGAAAAAAGCACATAAGAATAACATTTCAGTTTAAATTACATTAGGAAAATAATCTTATTTTCATCTATTTTATATAGTTATAGACAGTTTTTTTGGGGGGAGAAACAATTTATACTTAGAACTTGATAGCAAACAACCACAAAAAGTACGTTTTGAAAGTTTTATTTCATGAGAAACTGATCATATTTAAATATATGGCCTTTATATTCCTTTGTAAATGCAGAAATTCAGTAGAATTTTGTTTATTTCAATACAATTATTGAATAATTGAATAAATAAGAGTAATTGAAACTGAAGAACAAAAACTGGTGTTTGTTTTTTTTTTCCCCTTGAAGTACATACTTTATTTTCTAATAATTCCAGTTCTAGGAATATAAAATAACTGTCACTCGGGAAGTTCTGAAAGTACATGTAAAGTAACACAATTACATAGGTTTCAAAATTTGAATTTACAGCAAAAAAAAAAATCTAGTAACTATTTGTAGCCATACTTATTCACTGAAGATACTTAATGAAGGAAAAACACTTTTTACTGTAAGATTTACTTACATACTAATTTTTCTGATTGTGACTTTTCCTTAACAAGTAGCAGCTTTTTAAAAAATATAAATGTCCATATACAGAGTTATAAATACTGACCTAAGAATGGGTTACATAAACATAAACCCTTAATACCCCTAATTAGCATTTATACTTCAGGAATTATAGTTAAGTAATGGAGACTAAGAACTTGAATGTACCTAATCCAAAAAACAAGTAGCTAATAATGGCCTACTTCCTCTAATAAAAATAATTAAAACCTACACTTTGACTACCTTCTGTAGATTACCACTCTCAAACCTCGCTTCAAACACCAAAGTGTTGTCACAGTTATCCACAGGCTGTTTCAGGGGAGTTCGGTTACCCCCAACTCGGGAATACACAAAACAGGGCTCTTTGTAAGCTGATGAGAGAAGGGATCAAGAGAAGGACCAAATCAGTGACAGTGTGATACCCAGCAAAGCTCACACACAACATGTCTCCAAACAGCCCACACGGCAAAGGAAAGCATCACAGGCATATCAAACGATATTTGAGCAGGATGACAAATCAGACACTGCTTCAACATTTGTGAGCTGGAGTGAAAGTTGTACTTAGGGAAAAGCTTACAGCTTTAAATGTTTCAAACACCAGAAAGAAAATCAGAGAATCAGAGGACAAACACTGGATTCTGCTTAGGACACAAAACTCTGCAAACTGCATTGTTTTAGTCCTGTAACAGGAGGAAAAAAAAAAAATACTATTGTGAGCAAATTTACAGCTCTTTTTTTTTCTAAACGACTGAAAATTCTGTAATCTACGGTTGCAGGGCAAATACCCAATTCAAAATCTAAGGCCCTTCTAAAGGAGAGATGGGTCATGGGTACTGGCTTACTTGGTGAGAAACTTCATTTAAAATTGTAAACATTCATTTTAAAATGTAATTAGTGAGGGCTGCCCAGATTGTTAAGTGGTTAAGGGGGTATACTGCTCTTTAGAGAACCCGAGTGGTTACCAGTGCTCAGACACATTAGGTGGTTCACAACTATCTGTAACGCCAGCTTCAGGGAACCTAATGCTTGTGGCCTTAACTAACATCTGTATTCTTGTGTACATATTCACACAAGAGACAAACATAATTTAAAAACAGACCATTTTTAAAATTATATCTGTCATCAAAAAGTTGAGTGTGGGCTGGAAAGAGAAAACAGATTCTCTGAGAGGATATGAGGGATATATATGTATAAGGGAATTTTGTCCCTATAATGGTTCTTCACGTGGACATAACCTGACACACACACACACACACACACACACACACACACACACACACACACACGAAATACACATTTCTGAGAAAACATTATGCATAAAACCCTACCTAAATCATTTCTCCCTCCTCTTGTAACAAATTCTTAAATTCTTGTGAAGTAAGGACAACAAACACTGTCATCTTTAGGGAGCTAGTGTTCATATACATTATTTGGGAAAAGAAAACTTTTCAAAATCCCAAACCCTTTACTACTTGGGGAAAGGAGGGATTCACAGGATGGAACCATGTTTTGTTGCTGACATGTCTGAGAAAGGGACAAGAATTACTGAGGTTCTGATTAAACAGTCTCCCCAAATAGTGTAAGAGGCCATGAGTAAAAGCTAACAAGGATGTATGAATTGGAGAATATGGAGATTAGAGAAAATTTCCCTACAGTATAGCAGAAAGGAAAAAATAGAAATCTAAGAATGGCCCAGAACTGAGAAGATTCCTCTGTATCATCGAAAACGGTGATGTAGAGGATCTGAATTCTGTGGTCCTGTAAAGGTAAGAAGACCAAGGATAACTCTAAAACTAACTTAATCCCCAAACTGAATCAATACCCCTACTTCCCTCCAATCTCATAACATTCACTAAAGAGTTAGACTCTGGATTTTTCTTTTCAGGGTTCACACATAAACATTATTTGCATTTCCACCTAGATAAGCTCCTCAGCTATTAACCAGAGAATTTCTACACATGTGCTTATGCACGAACATACACAGAGACAGTCAAGAGGGAAAACTACATAACCAGTTTAATATAATGAAGATGCTGGGTCTAGCAGGTAAAAAATTCAGAAGGAGTAAGACAAGCTAAAGAACCAAGTGTAAAAGGATGCTCAAGGTCAGATGGAAATGTAAGAAAGCATCGAATATAATATGACAAGTGAACAGCAGTAACAAAAATCAAAACTACCTCTGATGTGCTCACCAGGAGACTTTATAGAGCAAGGGAAATACTCAGTAAACACGAGGATGGTGAACAGAAACAGCCAAAACTCAAGCAGGAGTTTCTAAAACAAAAGTAACACAAAATGAACAAAGTAAGGATGCTGGATCCAAGAATTGTTAGACAGTATTAAATAAGCTAACATAATCATACTGAAGAAGGAAAGTGTGAAGAAACAACACTTGATATGCTAACATTAGACTCTGGCAACAAACCGAAGTTTTTAAAAGTCCCAGGAACAACTAACATCTATGTAGGAACAAGGATTAAAAGTCTCAGGAGTTACAAGTTTGGAACATTTTTCAAGTGCTGTAAGGTAAAACTGTCAAGTAGACAATTTTTCTTTTCTGAGATAGAATTTCCATTACAAGAAATAGTAAAGTTTTCCAGGTAGAAGTGTTATTAGATAGAAACCTGGATCTCCACACTAAATAAGTAAATAAAAACATTTTTGAAGGCCAGGGAGCTAGATAGCTCAGTCAGTAAAGCATCTGCTGAGCAGAAGGACCTGAGTTCAACTTCCAGAATCCACATTTTAAAGTCAGGTACAGAGGCAGAGCCCCTAATCCAAGCACTGGGGAGGCAGAAAAAGACAGATCCCTGGGGCATGCTGAGCTAGCCAATCTAGCCTAGTCAGTGAATTCCAGGTTAATGAGACACAATATGGCAAAATCCAAAGTGGATAGCATCTGAGGAATGACACACAAGGTTTACTTCTGACTTCCACACACATGTAAACATGCATATGTTTACATATATGTGCACGCACGCATGCACACACACACACACATGCTAGAAATTAAAAGTAAAATAGTCATTTTTCTTTTCTTAAATGATCTAAAAGATTATAAATGAGGGAAATAACTTTTTAGCATGTGAAAAAGTAAAAATACATTTGAAATTATAACAAAAAGGAAACTGTGAATACACTTTTATAAGATTTTTGTATTATATATGAAATGACATAGGATTATCTGAAAGTAATTTTTATATTTATTTTAAAATGGTTAGTTTTAAGGATTTATTTTTAGATGTATATTTGAGTGCCTGTATGTATGTGTGTACACTGTTTGCATTCCTAGTGCCCACAGAGACCAGAAGAGGGTGTTACATCCCTTGGAACTGCAGTGACAGGTGGCTGTTCACTACCCAGCGTGGGTGCTGGAAACTTCACTGGGATCCTCTCCAAGAGCATAAAGTGCTTTAACCACTGAGTTATCTCTCTATCCCTAGTTAATTTACTTTTGAGACAAGCTTTTTCTGTGCAGCTCAGGCTGACCTCGAACTTGTGATCCTCTCACTCAGCCTCCTGAGTGCTAAGATATGGGCATGTGCCACTAACACTCAACTGCAATGACAGTCTTTTATAAAGATATATATTGGAAAACCTAAACAGACATATATAAATCAACACAGCAAGATAGCAGGCATTGAATCTAATTGCATCAAAACTTCTATTGACTATGGTAATTTAAAACATATCTTCAAACTATACAAACAGCAAAGTGCAGCTATATGCTGTATATATCTACATTTTTTTTTAAAAATGAAGAAAACATATTAAAAATAAAATGATGGGGCTAGGCATGATGGTCCACGCCTTTAATTCCAGCACTTGGGAAGCAGAAGCAGGTGAATCTGGAGTTTGAGGCCAGCCTAGTCTTCATAATGAGAGCCAGGACAGCAAGTGTTACACAGTGACACCCTGCCTCACATAAACAACAATAACAAAAAGAAAAAAAGAAACCAAAAATTTTAAATGATGGAAGAAGATATACTATTAATTACTAATCAAAAGAAAGCTCAAATGGCTTTTTTTTTTTTAAATCAAAGTATCCTGCTATGGATAAAGCTACACCATCAATGTGTGATCTTAGCATAGGCATCAATACATCAGCAAAGAAAAAAATTGTCTGGAAATAGACTGGCATGTATACTGTGAACTGACATTTCATAAGGTAGCTAGACATTTCTGTGGAAAATAGGACAGTCTTTTCAACAGCTCATGGTGAAATATTTCAGAAACAGTTGAGTGGGAAGATAAACTGTAACTTATATTCTAAGCCATGTATCAAAAATTATTCAAAATAGATGACTATAAAAAGAGAGCAAGTTTTTTGTAGTTAAACAAGGGTGGGTTACTTGCTTGTATGTTCCCTGGAAGCTATTTTAATATATAGAAACAATAAGACCTCAAACTCTGATGATGAAATTTCATAAGAGTCCCAAAGTTCCTGACATTAGTGGACACTAGCCCAGACTTGTACTGGATAGTCAGTATGCACTATCATACAGGCAGACAAGACTTTTGTATTTGTAGAGCTCTCAAAATGACAACCTTAAGAACACTTTCCTGGAATATAATTTTAAATCTCATTTGCCATGTGGACTATTTTCTTTTCTTTCAAAGATGGTAACATAAAAAATTAACAGTCATTTGAATGAGTCTACAAAGGTCAACTGCAGATAAGAGGGGATAATGATTCTGCAGACAGTATCACTTGTCTTACATTTGAAAACAAAACATTATTCATTCTATATGGAACTCTCCATTTAATGGACAGTATATTTAAAAAAATATGTCTTCAAATACATAATCTGCACTAACCATTTGAAATAATATGTAGCCATACATTTTTAAGACAACAGGGGCTTCTTAGTAATTTGAGGTTCCCTCTATACATAACAAGTATAACTAAGACATCAATCCAGGGAACAAATTATATTTTACAGCAATGTGTTAGAATGTATGCCCACCATCTTCAGCTAGATAAACCACAGTATCTTCCTTGGAATTTGGGTAAACAGGTTCTATTTCGAGGCCTGTTGGAACATATACTGGCTCAGGAAAAAAGGGAGTCCACTCTAGAAAAAAGGAGAGGGCGTTATTTGAATATGACTTCAAAATAAATTTGTATATAAACGTTCAAATTACTAACTGATATATACCTAGCCCCAAATTCAATGTTTTGTGTGTTGCTAGATTTTTACAAAGGATTCATCAAGTAATAACACTGTCACACTATATCGAAACTCATGACTGGATATGCACCTTGTTCTAACACCCTGTTAAGTTCAGCACCAGTATTTTATGCTTATCACCTCTTCAGCAGTCTCTACATCTCAGTCCTCCATGCCATTTTACCCGATCGCTACATGTCTTGCTCACTCCACTTCATACTTTCTGCTTCCTTTGTCTTCAGCCTTTTGCTTGGTCATCCCTTCAACTTGTGAACAGACTTAAGTTTCCTCTCTTTCTGGAAAGGGTGAATATTCATAGACTTCCTCAAAAAATTCCAATTACAATTTTTGTTGGGATTATACTGAATCTATAAACTTGGGATAACTGATGTCTTTTATACAAATGAGCCTTCCAAAATATGACTATACTACCTCCCTCTATATTCCTTTTTAGTTCCTGAGATCAAACAGCTGACAGAAACTTGAAGGAGGGAGAATTTAGTTTTCTTGGTGGTTTCAGTGGGCTCATGAGTAGTGGCTGGGGAGGCACAGTAGAGCAGCTCAGTTCACATCACATTACTGAGGGCCAGGGATCAGCGAAGGGTTGCTGGTGCTCAGCATGCTCCCTCCTTTATTCTCTCCGGTTCATGATGCTGAGGTTCCATCTGCATTAGGTAAGTCTTTCTAGCCTGTCAGTCCTCTCTGGAAAAAGCCTCTATTTACTTAAATATTTAAAAATTGCTATTGTTAATGCTTTCCAGTTATACACAAGACTTTTATGTCTTTTGTTAGGTTTATTTCTACGTATATCGTTCTCTAATTTATTTTGAAACAACTGGATATATGTGGAAACTGTACCAGAATTGTCCCCTAAAATACATGGACAACGCAGTACTAAAGCCTTTCCAGATATTTATGTATTCCTGACAAAGGAAAAATCCTCTTGTATAGTCATTAATACACCCATCAAGATGATGAATTTTGCTTTGTTACTACTGTCTAACCCTCAAATCCCAAGAGAGATTTTCCCAGCTGTGCCAGTAGTTAAGAGTCCACTTTAAAACTGCACATTGCATTTAATTATGTTTCTTGAGATTTTAATTTTTGAAATAGTCTTACTGTATCTTGATGGGAGATGTCTTTCTGTACATATGTTTCCCTTATTGGTTAATGAATAAAGCACTGTTGGTCAATAGGAAAGCAAGATAGATGGGACTAGGAGACAAGGATTCAGAGAGTTAGGAGGAGATTCAAAACGAGGAAATACTTAGATGAATAGAAATGGGTTAATATTTAAGACAGAGCTAGTCAATAAGAAATGCTAATAATGGGCTAACAGCTTTATATATAATACAGCATCTCTGTGTGTTATTTGGGGCTGGCCCCATTGTGGGACCAGACTGGTGGGAAAACTGCTCATAACAAAATGGCGCCTGTAACGTGGGTACTTAAGAACTTTCACTTAAAACTTAACAAAAGCTTAAAAAGGGGTTTTAGAAACAAAAGAACAGAGACAAGCAAGGCATCATTTTTCTCAATTGGGCTCTGTTTTGCTAGAGACAAGCAGAGACTCACATGGCTCCTTGAAGGGAGGTTTCCTGACTTAGCATAGCAGCAAAAAAACCACATGGCTTTTAAGAAGCTCTGCTAACAATTCAATGGTGTGTATGAGCAGATGGTTAAAAAAAAAGAAAAGAAAAGAAAAAGAAATAGATGGGGCATTGGTGGCACATGCCTTTAATTCCAGCACTCGGGAGGCAGAGGCAAGCGGATCTCTATGATTTCAAAGTAAAACTGGTGTACAGAGTGAATTCCAGGGCAGCCAAAGTTACACAGAGAAACCCTGTCTCGAAAAATAAAAAGATAAAAGTAAAAGAAATAGAGTAATAAAAAAGCCACGTGAAGATGGAAAGCACACAGAGTCTGGATACTGTATGCTATGGTGTTGTCTTTGAGTTGCTCAATTGCTAAGGAAGAAATAATTGCTACAATACACTTGATTATCAATGCTGCTAAATTAATCATATATATACGAATATATGTATATATATTCGTATATATATATATATTCATATATATATACATATATTCATATATATATATATATATATATATATATATATTAAATGCTTTGACTTCAAAATTTAAGTCCAAGGACAAGTTACTGGGGAAAAAGATTTCTATTTTTGTTTCCACAGAAAATAAAAAGCTATGGATTCCTTCTAGACTAATAAGGTTTGATCAAACAACACCCTCTGAAGCAGTGATCCAACATTCAAAACAGCTGGGACAAGTCTGCCTTATAGACCACTATAGCCAAGATTTCTGCATCTTCTTAGGATCTCCATGACAGCGCCCCCTACCAGTGGGAAGCAGTTTGAAAAGAATGATGCCCGAATTCCCAAATATTGCTTATAAATGTTTGCTTTCATTTAAATGGGCTTGGTTATAAATGGCTAATAATCACAACTGATCCCCTTAAAGGTAAAAAGGGGATTATAGATATAAATACTTTGTCTTGGAATAGATTTTCAGTTATTGATATAATTTAAGGTCATTTTTGATATGTATATTTCTCTTCTTGTTTAGGTATTGTCTTTCTATACCTCATTTAAAATGTATAATTTAGTGCAGATTATAGATAGTTGCCTATGATAGTCAAAACTTAAGTTAGTTAGGTTTTCAAGATATACAGAGATGTATTTGAGATGAATAGGTATTCTTCAAACTTTTTAAAGACCTACAGAATATGGCATTTAAAACAGTTTAGGGTTTTTCTTGACAATGAGACATAACTGCTCCTGACAACACCACCTGCATCAGAAAGATAGACATCAAAGAAACTCATTATGGACTTTACTTCCAATATGGCAAGACTAGCATTTGGACAAGATACTGCTCTTGTCTAGACTGTTTGACTTTATGGTGTATAAACTCAGGACCCACAGGAAAGTGACTGCTGATACAAGATGGACATTGCTACAGGGTTCCTGCTTCATGGAAGAGTCTGCCAGACAGTCTGCAGGACAAAGAGAAAAATGACTGGCAAACTGCCAACACAGGTGGGACATTTTGAAATTTCTTGCTTTGCTGAGAAGTTTGCCAGACAACCTTTGGCCTATAAGCTGAAGATAAAACATCACAGAAGAACTTCGGGTGACTGACCAGGTAGCAAGATGTCTCTGACATTTCTAGAGTTTATATATTATTCTTCTGTGGTCTTTGATGGAGTTGAAGACAGATAGTTATGGTCATAGTTTTCTTTAGTTAGGATTAAAGAGAAGTTACACATAGGACTTTAGACTCACAAAGATAGGATAGATGATGAAATATTTTCTTTAAATCATGCTAAATGTTAATGGACTGAACATTGTTAACTGTGGTTCTCATTTGATAACTGTTTTGTTATATATTTTGCTATGTTAAAGTTAAAACCCTTTTATTTTAGACAGAAAAAAGGAGATGATGGGAGATGTTATTCTGTAAATATGTTTCTCTTATTGGTTAATGAATATAGCACTGTTGGCCAATAGGAAAGCAAGATAGGTGGGACTAGTAGACAAGGAGGATTGGGAGAGAGGTAGGAGAAGATTCAAAATGTAGGACTGAGAGAGAACTCCAGACCCTCTGTCGGGTAAGATAAGACCACGTGGAAATACTTAGATGAATAGAAATGGGTTAATATTTAAGACAGAGCTAGTCGATAAGAAATGCTAGTAACAGGGCAACAACTTTATATCTAATACAGTGTCACTGTGTGTTATTTGGGGATGGCACGGCTGTGGGACCACACTGGTGGGAAAACCAACTTGTAACACTATCTCAGGCTGACCTTGAACTTGAGGATCTTCCTATCCCACCTCCCAGTGCTGTAATTACAGGTATGTGCCACCACACTGGACCTCTGACATTTAACAGTACAGTCATACTTCCAATTTCAGCTAAGAGACTGTAGGATAAAGACAGGATATTGTCCTCATCCTTACAATGAAAAGAAACCTAAACTTGACGAATTACAAGTTGTTTTATTGACACTACTACAGCACCGAAGTTGCAGGCTACCTAGGTACTCCAAAATCTGGGAAGACAGGTGAGCATCTCAGTGATGAAAGTAGACTTTAAGCACCTGTTTAAGATGCTGTAGACTCCACAGACTGTTAAAAGGGCACAGCCACAGTATTTTTAAAATAAACCATGAATATAACGTGTACGGGTTTTTCTGCCTGCCGCTTGGTTTTGTCCTGCCGCTGTGCCGCCAGCCCCAAATAACACACAGAGACTCTGTATTTGATATTATCCTGTTGGCCAGTTACTAGTTTCTTATCGGCTAGCTTTATCTTAATTATTAACCCATTTCTGCTGATCTATGTATTTCTCTTACCGGGGAGCCGGCGGCATACTGCTTTCTTCAGACTCTCCATCTTGACTCCTCCTTACTACTTCCTATTTCCTCCTTGTCTCCTAGTCCCTCCTATCTTCCTTTCCTATTGGCCAACAGTGCTTTATTATTAACCAGTATGAGAAACATATACAGAATGACATCTCCCATCACATGAATGTGTAAAGCCCCCTTTCAAGGAGGGAGGACATAGGACACAAAGCATTAGCGCATGCTGGACTTTCCCTCCATTAACTTCTGACAAAACTCCACTAAGAACCATCTATCCATTTCCCTTTAGAACACAACAAATAATCTAGAACAGAATGCCCATTACATCTGGGGAAAGGGAACAGAATACAATGCACAATTTCTGAGGGCACCATGTAAGCTACTTATTATTTTTGTTATATTGTTTACTTATTTTGTGTACATGTCGGTACAAACATCCTATAGAGTGCCTGAGGTAGGTGGACAGTTTGTGGGAGTAAGTTATTACTTCCCACAACATGGGTTCTGGTGATTG